TGAAAAACGTCATTACATAGTTTTAAAATTTTCTCCTCTCAATGTGCCAGCGTGGCTATGCTGAGGTAATTATGCTGAGGTAATTATGCTGGTAAATATGCTGGTAGTTATGCTGAGGTAAATATGCTGAGGTAATTAGTCCTGCGAGGTAATGCTGCGGATGGTCTGAAAAAAAAGTTTTCTGAAACTTATAAAAAAAACACTTTCAAAGACAGTCCTGCTACTCCAGATAGCGCTGCTGTGAAGGCAATAAAAAAGCCTGTAGCTAGAAAAAAATTTAAGACTTTCTTTTGACAATTAAAATTTTTTTTTGCTACATTTATTTTTTTACTATAAATATATGCTGAAGCCATTTTTCAAAACGCTTTAATATGCTTATTACGTATTTCGAGAAAAACGCAATTAAAAAAAAATTAAAAATTAACTCTTTGTAAAACGTTTTTTGTAATGAATATAATTTTTATGAATTTTTTCAGAACTCTTTGAAAATATGTATTCAATAACGTTTGTAGACATATGAACTAGCTTATTTTGTAAAAAAGTCAAAATTAATATTTTTTACTTTTGAAAAATGGCTGCAGTATGGATGATACAACGAATATATTGAAATGAGATATTTGATGCAAAATTTAAAGCTCTTAACAAAAGCCACTAAACCAAAAATAAGTAATTGCAGTTTAGTGCACTTTAACATTTTAATATAGTGTGTTGGAAACATTATATAAATCATTTTTTAATTTTAATATAAACTAATTTTTTTTAAACTTTGTTGCGCTTAATCATCCCTAGGGATAGGAATGGTTAATCCCTATATATAGGGATTATCCCTATATATAGGGATGGTTAGAAAAGTTTACTTAAATTACGTACGATCCTGAATAAAACGTTATATAAGTGGATTTTTTACATTTTATAAACAATATATATAAACAAATAACATTTATATACATTGTTTATATATAAACAATATATATAAACAAATAACATTTATATACATTGTTTATATATAAACAATGTATATAAATGTTATTTGTTTATATATATTGTTTATAAAATGTAAAAAATCCACTTATATAACGTTTTATTCAGGATCGTACATTGTTTATATATAAACAATGTATATAAATGTTATTTGTTTATATATATTGTTTATAAAATGTAAAAAATCCACTTATATAACGTTTTATTCAGGATCGTACGTAATTTAAGTAAACTTTTCTTATAATTAAGATTATTTTATTTCAATTGTTTTTAAAATAAACCTTTATGCGTCAAATAAGCGTCAAATCTACACCTTTTCTGGATCAATTTAAAAGAAATACGAATCAATTTAAAAGAAATACGAATCAATTTAAAAGAAATACGAATCAATTGAAAAAAAATACGAATCAATTTAAAAGAAATACGAATCAATTTAAAAGGAATACGAATCAATTTAAATTAGTATTTCTTTTAAATTGATTCGTATTTCTTTTAAATTGATTCGTACTCCTTTTAAATTGATTCGTATTTCTTTTAAATTGATCCAGAAAAGGTGTAGATAAGATTATTTTATTTCAATTAAAAAACTCTTTCTATTAAGGATATATGAAAATATATTTTTATGGGATATAAACTAATAAAGACGAAAACTATTTATTTATTACTATTGTAATAAATACAATCTCTTATCCGTGAAAATGATATATCTCTACAAGTTTTATATATTTTTATGCATTTGTATGCAACATAATTAAAAATACTAAAAAAAAGTAAGATAAATGCAAAAGGAAACTTGACGCAAAAGGTTTATTTTGCCACAAACTGACGTCAATGCACAAAATCTTTTTGGCTTAACTTTTAAACTAGCATTTAATAATATTTTTTAGTTCTTAATCATAATCATCAGAATGATTTTTTTAATGACTATGTTTTCCCACCCAATCAGCAGTACATTAATGGGCCAGAGCAGGCGAGCCAAATCCGGCAAAACACATGTGATCCAGTTAAGGGCTTTAGCTGGCGAACCAGAACTGGCTATCCATTGCCGAACCATAAGCGTATCATTAATGGCTCGCCAAAGGTACAAAAATGCATGACGCAAAATGTTTTTAATGTAGATGCAAATTTTACGGAGAGAAAAATATATTTGTTTTCATTCAAGTACATAATTTTCATTATATCACATCCTGTATATTTAGTATTCTTGGTTTCAGTTATAAGCTATTGGTCTGAAATAAAAAAAATTCGAGAAGAAGTTAAAATTATTTTATTTTAACTTTTATTTATTTATTTGTCTGAAATCAATCAAGGGAAAATGGTTATTAATGGAGCCTATAACTATGATTACATAGGTAAAACTGGGTTTTATTTTCTTCAGCCTATTGACGCTTTGCCCAAAACAGTCGTTCAAAGCAATTGCAAAAAACATGGGTTGAACACTTCAGATAATGAACCTTCCAACACCACTGCTCTGGATAATAACCTCAATGTTTCTTATCAAATTGATAATGAAATTAGTGAATTTGAAGCTTTATCTGATAACGATTCAGATAAAAGTGATAAGAATATTGTAACAGATGAACTAGAGGGTGATCAAAATTAGCATTTTGATCTTCTCAGCATAATATCACACAAGAATTCACTGATTTAATTTGCTGATTTAATTTGCTACCAGAGCTGCTTAAATGTTAATGCATCCTAAAATTTTATTTAAATTTGTGTTTTTTATGTATTTAAATAAAGTTCATATATATGTATCTTTTATGCTATATTTTACATGATCTCATCATCATTGTCATCATCCCCCACCTTTATTTTCCTTTATTTTATATATTTATTCAACCTTAATTATATTTCTTTATAGTTTCTTTATTTTTAGTTTGATGTTGAGTAAAACAAGTACTTCACTAAGTTTTAAATATTATTTGTTGACTAAAGTATACACTTATTACCGTAGATGGGGGTAACTAAAGCCACTTTTGAAATTCAAACTGCTGCCCAAGTCAGACCCTTTAATTTATAGGTTAAATAAATATTGCAAAACTTGGGTCTGTGGTCATATATTAAAGAAATATATTCATAAATTGCAGAAATATACATTTTTTTAATAAAAAAAATGAAAACATGGTGGCTTTAGTTACCCCTGGAAAAGGGGTAACAAAAGCCATCCATTAAAAAGCAATGTTTGGCTTTAGTTAAAGAGTGCTAGGGTACTAAATCCATAAATCATGCATCTGTAACAATAAAGAACCACTATTGACAAAAAAAAAGCTTTATTATTTAAGAAAAACATTAAAAAGAGACAAAAATATTAAAAATAGGTCTTAAAGATGACCCTTTGATGAAATCTTAAAGATGACCCTTTCTTCACTTCTTCTACAGCTATTTTCAGCGTTTCATCTGTCTAATCCTTTTAGTTCCGGCTACTAAGCCTCTTCTTTGGGTTTCGATTGTTAACTAACTGGGTCGCGCATGGGATTGTTATGGTTTTTCATCTATATTTTTCTCGTAGACCCTCTAAGAGAATTATTTTAAGTTGTTTTTATTTAAGTTGTTTTTAGAGACAAAAATATTATTTAAAATAGGTCTTGTTGAAATCAGTGCTTTACCGGTAGTTCATAAGGAAAAGTATAACGTCCTCTGTTTACTTTGGATGGTTTCACAATTGAAATGACGTCTGTTAACTGAATGTTCATTTCGTCATCAACATTTGGAAATATATAGTCATTTCCTTTTGATTTGGAGCTTCTTTTGAAAAACTTTACTGTAACTTCGTTCTTCTCAAAACAAGTTCTAAGACTCCATAGAACTGTTTGGTGGTTTCTTTTTTTGTGTTCTTATCAAAGATGAGCTCAACAATGACGTAAATATCAGGTTTAAGTTCTCCTTTAGAGACTCCTATTTTGGGGGGTTCGTCATAAGTTGTTTCTTCTAGTTGTAGATCTACTGGTATCTCCGATTCCAGGTTACTAAATGTTTCTGGATCCATATCTGAATTAGAGTCTCTCAAAGAATACTGGTCATTACTATCATCAAATGAGTCGGAATTCGCAAGTATCTTATTATGTTTCAAAGTCTTTAGTTTGCTGTGGTTTTTCTTTGTTTTGGTATTGGGTGTATTGGACCTATTTGGTTGAGGATCATCATCATTGATCAGAATTGTGTCTTCAATCCCTTCAATCCCCTTTCCTGCTGGGACATTAAGTTTCCTTTTCTTCCGCTGTTTAAGAGGTTCGGTCTCTCTCTTCCTACTTTCTTCAAAAAAGGCTTTGATAGAATCAGTCCAGTTGTTGCTTGAATTAAACTCTTCGTATACTGCAGTGGCATCACCATCAGGAAGCCTTTTCAGAATTTCATTTCGGTCTAAAGGTACAATACCAGCTGCCTTAAATCCACTTTTTAAGTTTTTGCTTATGTTTTCCTCTCCCAAAGCATCAAGGCACTTTATCAGAAGTCTTGGAAACCTGTCTTTTTGAACCTAACTTCATTTCAGCCACACCGATCCAGGTAACCTTTCACTATTAGTCTTATGTCTAGTGCTGTAAGAGGGAATCCCCACTCTCCGGCCATGCTTATAGATTCAACTAATCTTCTTTCTTCTTTAGAATTAAAAACTGGAGGCCTACCACATTTGTTAACCTTACCTTTCAGGGCAGCAGTGAGAGCAAATCTTGATATAGCGGATTTCTCAGCAATTTTCTTAAAGATGACCCTTTCTTCACTTCTTCTACAGCTATTTTCAGCGTTTCATCTGTGTAATCATTTTACTTCCGGCTACCAAGCTTCTTCTTTGGGTTTCGATTGTTAACTAACTGGGTCGCGCATGGGATTGTTATGGTTTTTCATCTATATTTTTCTCGTAGACCCTCTAAGAGAATTATTTTAAGTTGTTTTTAGCATAATCGACTGTAATTTTTTGGTTTAAAATTGGTGTATTTTTCATTAGTTTAAGGACAATAAAATGTATTAATGACATGATTATTGATAATTTTAATTATGAACAAATTTAAAAAACAGGCTTAAATTTTAAAATATATTTACGCAATTATAATACAAAGATTTGATTTATAATCATTCGACAATGGTACTTTTCTGCGATTCATATCCAATCGTCAACATGATTCGTTATAAATTTCTGCTTCAACTTGTAACGTTATTGTCTTCTTTAGTGCTTGCATCCGTTTTAACTTTAATAAAATAAAAACAAACATAAGCACAACTTAACAATTTATTACATATATACTTATACAACATAGTAACAATATATATACAAATTAGTCACAACTTATAAACAACATGGTTATCATGTTACATTAACAATTATTTTTATTATTGACGAAAAAGTTCAATCCATTAACAACAAACCATAGTTACATAGACTTGAGTTAAGGATCTTTTTATAACTCTGTGAACTAAAATGTAATAAATATCACAATGAAAATTTACAATTACAACCAAATGCAGGATACTTACAAATATATTTATTAAAACATGTTGTACTTGGATTATTATGGACCAAAACTCTATTAAAAATTTGTCTTTAAAATAATTTCTTGAGATTTGACATTTCATGATATTTAATTTAATTCACAGCAGATTCTAAATAAAGAATATGACATGCAATTTATCATTTTATTATAAATAGATGCCTTTAAAATGTTGCCACAGTATAATTACAATTTAAAGCATCTTAAACATTTCTTATTTAAAATCTGTTTAGAGGGTTCTCGATGACAAGATCTTAAGACCTTCTGTGAGTATAAGCGTAAACTCAACAATTATTATAATAAGTATAATTATAATTAGTATAATTGTAAAGTCAACAAAATTTGTAACTCTTATTGTATGTATTTTATTCATTCTTTTATTTTAAAAGTTATTTTGAACAAACGAAAAATAAATAAAAAATTTAAAAATGAAAATTAAAATGTCTCTCAATCTTCCTAAATATTTTTATACACAAAAACTATTTTATAAAACACAGTTAATCTAGTCATTAGTAATAGTAAAAAAAAGGGAAAAAAAATTTTCCTTCACTTAAGCACTGAAAACAGAAATATTAATAACTTATTTGATTAAGTGTAAACTAACCAGATTTTTGTGTCAACATTACGCTTAATGCCACAGCTTCATTAATATTTACTACATTTATGTAGTGGCACATTAATCGTCACAAACAAATTCTAAAAACAAAACATCAATACTATTAAATCTTATAATTAAAATTATTTTATTTAAAGTTTTTCATATAAAATAACAAAATAAGAAAAGAAATCAAATATATGGAACTGAGTTTTATTATCACAGTTGCAGAAAGTTTGGAGCATACATACAAGGGATGCGGAGTCCCAAAAGGACTCCGGCTTTATAACTTTATTTTTTTATGGTCTCTGGTGTCCAGAAGCTCTAAACATGTTGGTTGATTAATGATTTGCTATATGAAAAAAATTAATGATATTTAATGACTTGGAACTTATTGTTTTTAAGCCTGGAGTCCTTGTTGCCACTATACCTAAAGACTCCGGGTTCAAAAATTGATTGTTCTTCTGACCTATAAGCCTTGATTTTTTCCCCAATAGTACCCATAACCTTTTTTATGTTTTTAAAGCTCCTGGATACTAAAAATTAGAAAGAAGTAATCTTTTTGAGTCCTTTTTGGGACTCCGCATCCCTGATACATACTAAAATAAAATATATAAAAATATATGCTACATACTAAAACAAAAATCAGGTTATTAGCATCATTATTGGCAATTCTTTATAACTTTTAATGAGAGCATTTTAAAAATCAAATTATAGAGAAAAAATGATTTTGGAAGTTTGATATTAGGGCAAATCAAACACTTCTTGAAATCATTAGATAAAATAAATATAACATTAATAGTACATCATTATTTAGACCTTACCTTGAATATTGAACCTCATTAAGGAGTTTACATATATGGAAACATGTTATTATGATTAAACAATTCCAACATAGAGCAATTTGTGTTTATTGTTCAAAAGATTTATCATGTAAGAACTCACTGATAAACCTTTCTCTCCACATTAAAAATTAGAAGATCAAGAGGTGATGTGATATAACTATACAGAACTATTATTGACTTGGATGTAATAAATTGGCATAATGCTCCAATATTTATAAAAAATTCTATTACAAAAGACAACAATAAATGATATATAAATAACAATGTAAAAATCAAACGATCAACATTATTTTTTTATAAATAGAATAGCTGAAAAATAAAACCATTTTCAACTAGAAGTTGTGAAAGCAAAAAAAATTATATTATTAATACTCTACTATAAATATATACAAAACTGTGAAAAGCTGTTAAAGTTTAGCATCTACTTTTGTTAGACTATACACTAATAATGTGTATCACAACTTTGTTGGTTCATTTATTGTATATATATCGTCGCATGAGAATCATAAGGTTCTATCTGCCTTGTTTTATGTTGAAAGAATTTAACAATCAAAGTTTTAATTAATAATTAATAATAAACACAAACCACTTAAAAAATGATATATTATATATAATTTTTTGACATTTTTAACAGATAACATAAACAACTTATAATTAATAATTATAATGAATAACAGCTGTAAAACATGTATTAAATAAATATTAAAAGTTAAGTTCTCACAACATAAAAAAAGGCAGATAGAACCTTATAATTCTAATATGACGATATGTAAATAAATTACCAAATTTATTCAAAAAAAAAAAAAATAATAATGATTAAACTCCTAGAAAAAAAATAAAGTCAACAATGAATTCTTAAATTATTTTGTTAAAAACACTTATATGTTCAAATCTAGATATATAGACTTGGTAACTTTTCCTATTTAGTGATTCATATGTTACAACATATGAAGCACTAAATATCAAACATATCAAAAAATGGATACCTAAGTATTATACAACATATCAAAAAATAGATACTTAAGTATTACTAACGTTAGTAATACTTAGGTATCCATTTTTTGACTTCAAAAACATTGCATAGCACAGTAACATTCTTATACTATATTTATAAATAAAATGTTATCTTCATATTATTCCTATTAAACTATAAGAATATAAGATAAATGTATTAATAGCAATCAAGTTATATTACAGAAAAGATATGAATATGACAACAAAAAGATAATAAAATAAAGCAAAATTGTTCAAGTAATCTACGAAATAATATACATACATTTTATATATTTCCTTTTCTATCAAACAAACATTTCTATCAGTTTTTTTATCAATATCAATCATTCTTCAGCTACGATAAATTAGATTTTATGTTTTTTTAATTAACTTAGGCTTTAAGTTTTTTAAACCAGTTTTAGCTTAGTAAAAAAAAAAAAAAATTAAAACATTAAACCAATTTAATGGTTAATGTTCGATGTAAACAATTTTAATATATCATTTTATTTGTAGTGTAGCAACACATCCCAAACGAAACTCTATTTATTTAACCAAGAGAATTAATTGCAATAATTTATTTAGAAATTATTTAAATAGCATAAATTTCTTTTAACAAATATTAATTTTTTAAATTTATTTAGAAATTATTTAATAATTTCTTACATATTTTTATATACATATTCTATATTTGCGTACATAATATGTACGCAATATAGAATCACCTGAAAGTATTTTTTTAAACAATAAAGTTTTAAGATATATTTGTAGAAAAAGTGAAAAAAACGACTTCCAAGATGGATGCAAAATTCTGCGCAGTAAACGCAAATGCTTTTGTGTATATCATTATTTATTTGATTTTACCACTGATGCCCCATCTGTTGTTCTGGTTGGGCAAATCTTTGTTGGACCATTAATGGCTTTTTTGCGGCTACCCAGCCAGGCAATTTTTTAAAGGCTCGGCAATGGTCCTGTTACGGCTTCCCAGAACTTGCAATACAAGAACGGAACTTTATCGGGCCTTTAAAGAATTCGCTGGGATTGGCTAGCCATATTATCGGACCAGTATATACTTGCTGTCTGGGTACGATATGTAGCTAGCGACAAATTGCTACAAAATCGCAAAGTTTAAAGTTTAATTATTCTCATAATTATAATAGACTCAACACTAAAAATCGAATTTTTAAAGATGTTAAAGACATTAGGAAAAAAACAACAAGAAAAAAAGAAATCGCTACAAAATCGCTATAAAGCTATATATATAAGCTAATCGCTCACTAATCGCTATAAAGCTATATATATAAGCTAATCGCTCGCTAGTCTCTTGCTCATTTCCCACCGGGTTAAAAGTTGAATGTTTTGTCAAAATAACCACTTTTATTATTAATGAATTTAAAATTTTTAGTAATTCGAAATCAGCATAAAAAATTAAGAAAGAGTAGTGGTTAAACTATACAAAGTTTAAAAAAAGTCATTTTTGGACACAGGGCCGGCGCGAGTAGGTGTCACGTGGGGGGTGCCATTACAACTTTTTCCGACAGAAAAAAAAAAAAAGGTCTTCGTTTTCCAAAATTTGCCGACATTTGCCGAATGTCTAGATTACCGACTAACCCGTATCGAAAGGGGCCGATTTGCCGACTAAGGTTCCAATTTGCCGACTAAAAATCATTGATGTAGGGGTGTCACACCCCCCGCACCCCCTATCGCGCCAGCCTTGTTTGGACCCCCCTTAGAGATAGAGCTAATGCTTTAATTTGTTTTATTATCATTAATTATAATTAATAATAATAAAATAATTAGGCGCGAAATATGATTGAATAAAACCAATATAAACATTTTGTTTAGTGTTTTAGCGACATTTCTTGTTGTACGTAAAGTTAAAATAAACATCAAAACATCTTACTAACAAATTTTACTTTTTTGTGATATTTTGGTCTAATTTGATGATGATGGTCTATACAAATTAGACCGAAATATCACAAAAAGAAAAATTAGTACAATGCTGTTTTGATGTTTTACAACTTAATATAATTTATATTATTGTCTCGAAATGAACTTCACAAAATTGTCAAACTTATCAAAGTGCCGAATTATTTTTTAAAATTAAAGTTTATAATATAAACTTTAAATCTTCACCTTAATAAGTTTGATAATTTTGAGAAGTTGATTTCGAGACAAAAAATTGAAGTCTCCCTGATTTTAATTCTTCTGTTTTAATTGTACAGACAATATAATGGGCAATTAAATTACAACATCCATCGCGATTTAGTGGGTTTTGAGCAGTATTAAGATGACTTAAGGGCGGAATTGTAAACAAGTCCGCCGACTTAAGATCAAAAGATTTAAGATCCCTTAACTAATATTCTTTCAAGCGATCTTGGGTCTGAATTCAAGATCATTTAAAAATGAATTATTTTGATTTTATCACTTTTGATCACTTAAAATATTTTTTCTTCCAAGCTAACTACACTCTTTTTTCAAATTTTGTATCAATATTTGCAACCACAATATTGATAACCTTGCAGATATGGTTGATACATTGTACATAAAACTTTTTTGGTATAATATTTTGTATGCAAAATAATTACAGGAAAAGTTGGTGTTTCTCAATCTGTGGTCAGCAGAACGAAGAAGGGAATTTGTAGTAACAAATTATTATTTTCTACTCAGAGAAGTAATTGTGCAAGATAAAAAAAAACAAAAACAACCTCTAGATGGTCCCATTTTACTGTGATCAGTCAGAAGAAATAGAAAAATGACATTAATTTAGTTAGCTAAATAACTTTAAGAAAATGAGGTTAAAATTATAATTTTAACCTATAACTCTTAACTAATATGTAACTGTGTAGTATAACATGTTGAACATCCAACATCTGTAATGGTCTGGAGTATTATGTTGTTATATGGCTGTAGCTATATATTGACAAAAGTTCCAGACCAATAAGGCAAGATTAGTATAATTAATGCTTTATACAGTATTCTTATTACAGGTGAAGACATTATCCGAAAAACATTAGCAATTTGATGCATGATTATGCTCCTTGACAAAATCTGTCTTGAAATCTTGAGCTAATAACAAAGTGTGAATTTTGGATTGGCCTGACAATTTGCCTGACAAAGGTTCGGGGACATCACTAAGGGTAAACTCAGCCAGTTAAAACCAACAAGAGTCTTAAAGGTATAATTCATTGTAAAAAATTACGCCATTGAAAAGAGAAACCTTGACGCTGGTTAATTCACAATTTAAAACTAAATTCTCCTTACAGGCAACACTGACAGCTGAAAAAGCAAGATTGAAGTCAATCTGAGCACGCTGAGCAGAAGATTGACAATTTAATAATTTTAATTTTTCTACATCATCATCATTACTCTGGCAATTTATTCATAAAATTATTCAGTCTATGTTTGCTGGTGGCAGGGCACATAAACAACAATTACTAAAAGGCATTGACACTCAGCTAAGGAAATATCTGAAAGAACTAGAAATAAATAGACACAATGATCCAGTACAGTAGCGGAGTGAAAAAATCTCGGAAAAAAAGTTCAATAGAATTACTATAAACTTTTAAAACATATGGCCTATAGAATTTCTATTGAATGTCTATTAATTTATATATAGAAATTGCTATAAAAGTTTTTAAATAACAACAATGAAGTTTAACAGAAAACAGCAGTTACTTGGTAACTTGATATTCTGAATAGTCCACATTGTTGACCATTCTCAACACCAAGTAGGGATGTACAGGATTTTGGCTCCTGTAGTTTTGTTTCGAAATCTGGCTCCGGCTCCGATTCCGGCTGGATCTGTCAGTAGAAATCTGGCAAATCAGGCTCCGGCCGGATTCGGAAAAATTAAATCCGGTACAGCCCTAATATATATATATATATATATATATATATATATATATATATATATATATATATATATATATATATATATATATGTATATATATATATATATATATATATATATATATATATATATATATATATATATATATATATATATATATATATATATATATAGAGAGAGAGAGAGAGAGAGAGAGAGTTATTTATGTTTTATGCGATGTTGTGCAATATAATTTGTAAAAGTATCTTTCAGATGCAAAATATTTTTATAATAGTTTTTCAAGCAAGTATTATTTTTTTTAAAGATTAGTGATGCTTGACCTGTTGACTCCACAAAATTATCTTGATTATTAATTTGTTATTATAGTAATGAAGATTATTATTTTGCCATTATACTAATAAAAACCATTTTTATTAGTGATTATAATTAGTTCATTAAAATTTTAAAATTGAAAATTGTGTGTTTGTATATATATATATATATATATATATATATATATATATATATATATATATATATATATATATATATATATATATATATATATATATATATATATATATATATATATATATATATATATATTTATGTATGTATGTATGTATGTATGTATGTATGTATGTATGTATGTATGTATGTATGTATGTATGTATGTATGTATGTATGTATGTATGTATATAGTTTGTTTTTAAATGCTTAAGGTAATATCTTTTTTAATGCCACGATTTGGTGAAGATGGAATGCATGTGTTAAATGTTGCAGAAAAGAATGATGCTGCAAAATGTTTATCACAAATCATGTCTAATGGCAGATCAAACAGAGTAAAAATTCTTTTACATATCTATAAATTATTCATATTTATTTTTAATTAGGTAATAGTGCATCAAACTTAATTGACTCAATTCTTTTTTTTTTTCCTAATATAGAATGAGTTAGTTTTTATTCTTTTAAATGTTTTATACTAAAGAGGTAGAGCACACGAGGAGAGAATATACATAAACTGAAACTGGTAGAACATGCGTAGAGTGCTGCTTCATTGACTGACAAATAGGTAGAACATGTGAGGAGTGCTGCTACATCGACTGACAATTAAGTAAAACATGCATAGAGTGCTGCTATATAGACGTGAGGTTATGGCTAGAACAGGCAATTTTTTATTTATTAAAGAAACAAAATTACTGTCTTGTTTTTTAGATTTTATTTTTTTTCAACAAAATACGGTGAAGCTTTCATTCAATCTCTAAGGATTCTTTAATATTATATGATATTATATTGTATATAATATTATATTATATATAGTATTATATTATATATATTATATATAATTTTATATTATTAGCCCTCAGAACTAGGGTCGGCATTTGGCAATGCTGACCTAACTGCCGACCTAAAAGTGTTTGAGGTCGACAAAAAATTGCTGACCTTGTTTCTATACTTTATGGTAACTCCTTTGTCTCAATTTTTTTTGCCGACCTCTAAAAGTTTAAGGTCAGCAATTTATTGGCTACCTCATTTTTCCTAATTCTGAGGGTTGTATAAAAATAACTACATAATTTTTACTACTAAAAATTTCATGCGTTAAGCAATCATCTGGTTAAAAATACATTGTTTTTTTTGTTGAAAAATATACTCTTAATAAAAATCGTGATGTTCAAATAACAATTATAAAACCTTTACTATTTGGTTTGGCTTTTTAATCTTTGGGCTCGTGGTTGTCAAGCAAAAACTTATTTCTGTGACGACATTTGATATTATTTCTGTTTTTTTATTTAATAATTCTTGCGCATCTTTCTATGATATTGTGATATAAAGTGCAAAGTTTTTCATGAAGGTAAAGCAAGCATTTTTTGTTATGTTGCTGTATGCGGAGACTTGTTTAATTATTAACCAGGTTAATTTGGATGTTATTTTTAAGTTTTCTTGTATCTGCCATATATACTTTGAAAGGGTGGTTGAATTTTTCATCTTTTTGTTTGTAAATGAGTGTTTGTGATTAGCCTATCTTTTCTTCCATTCACCTTCTGCTAGCCCAATATATACTTTTTCTGGAGTGTTAGAGGGGATACTATACATTTATAAATAACATTAGAGGCTCTACATTTTAGGGTAGTTTTCTTTATTTATGCAATTTTAAGGTGGGTATTCTTTTGGTCTTTCTGAACTGATTTTCTTGTTGTGGCTTTTTGTTATTCTTTCCATATTTTTGGTGCAGATGAAACTCACTTTGATGGTATTTCGATTGAATAGTTTACTTAGGGGGTGAGATGTTGGGAAATATTTGTCGATTAAGTTTAGGAAGATATATCTGATCTTGGTAGAAACGCTTTTACTATACGGGGAATGAACTGAAAGGAATGAAATTATATTTTTTTTCTTTTCTTTTTTTCTCTTTTTTGATTTTGTGTGACTTAATTGTATAATGTACATTGCACAATGCAAGCTTAAAATATTGTAAACTTTACAATGTTTTAAGTTTGCATTGTGCGATGTACATTATACAATTAAGAACCACACACAATTGAAGCTATTAAGTTTTAAGTTAATGTTTCAAGATGATAAGTAAACTGTAAGGACTGCAGTCAATGCAGTGTACTTCTTATTTTAATAATATAAAAAGTAAAATAAAGCGTTACAAAAAAAAAAAAAAAAAAAAGTATGAAAAAATATGCAAAGTTTACCGACTTAATTTTAAAGCATATTGTAAGTAGAAAATCAAAAAGATTTAAATTCTGATACACTTACTTTCTTTTTTCAACAGAGAGAAGGTTTTTCAAAATTCAACAAAATATATGAATTTGAGTACAAGATCTTTAACTGTGTAAGTTGTTTTGTGATTTTTGTTTGTTTTGTGTTTATTTATGTATTTATTATCTAGTAAATAATGTGGAATGTTGAAGTGTTAATAATGTAGTTTCAAAAAAAAAAAAAATTAGAAAAAATCGAGTTTTGATCAAATTAAGTTGCTCTTTCCAACTCTCTCAGTAAGTTTTTTCTTGCGATTTGTTATTTTTTTCTCTTTCTGATGTAGTGTTTTTTAGACAATTGGTTACAACATATAAGCTATTAGTTTGTTTGATGTTTTATTAAAAAAATTATGAACTATATATCTTTAAATTACTCAAAAATATTTTTTAGTAATGTTAAAACATATGCCGTAAAAAAATACAACTAAAAATCATCTTAACAAAGGTTTTTTTTGTATTGAATAAAAAGGATCATAAAAATTGCTGAAATTTTTTATAATTTTAGATTTTTATTTATAGCAAGAATTTAAATTTTATAGCAAAGTCTTTGTAAACAGATTTTGATTTAGCATTCAAGTGGAATCAAAGCTTACGAAATTTAATATTTCTAAATGTATGGTTATGCACAATGGTATGAATGACAAAAATCAGCGCTATTTATTCATGAAGAAAAATTAAACATAACAAAGTCTGAAAGAAATTTTAGAATTCATGTAATTTCAGCCAACAAATTGAAATAGAAAATCATGTAATTACATGTTTACCATTTTAAAGTCTTGATTCCACAACGATCTTGACATCTTGATTCATGGATAAATCTTGACATCTTTTTTTTTTATTTTCAGATGATCTTGACATTTTGATTTTTGGATAAGCAGCAATCAAGCATTGGCTTTTATAATGCATTATTAGTATATATGCATTATCATGTAATGCATATAAGTATATGTATAATCAAAACTAATATTGTTTTATTGCTGGTTAAATTTTTTTGTTTTTGTTTTGGTAGTCAAGTGAAGAACAGTATGTACCCAATACAGAAAATCTTTTAGTGAAATATATTAAAGTGAAAGCACTTTATTCAATATATTTACTTTAATTTAACATTTAAAAATAATAAAACTTAAATCTTAATAATAAATGGATCCAAACACAATAACAAATCCTGCTGACATCACACTTTTGAAATACTTAATAAATTTATTCACTAAAAACAAAAAACATAAAATGTTTGTCAAATGGGAGTCCTATTTTCAGATACTTCAAATGAGATATTTTCAGATATTTTAAATGAGATATTTTCAAAATACTGTAACCAAAGACTAATTAAAATAATTTTCCCCTTGAGAATTCTGAATTTTGCAAAAGATAAATTGTTGCTTTGAAACATCAAAATTTTCTCCAGTTTACATTTTAATTATAAAAAAAATTATTTCAATCAAAAAATTCTATCCTTTAAACTACTAAGTTTTGATTTTGGTTGTTGCTTGTGTAGCTGATTATTTAATTGCTATGTAACTGTGGATTTAATTGCTATGTAACTGTGGACAATGCTATGCCTTAAGTTTGTCAAGTTTGTGGAGTCTGTATTATACAAAAGATATTAATGAACTAGAAAAAGTCCAACGAAGAGCTACTAAAATGATACCGGAGCTAAGACATCTTGAGTACAAAAAAAGGTTGGAAATTTTGGGTTTGACTACTTTGGAGACTAGAAGGCTAAGGTGCGATTTGATCCAGCAATTCAAAATATTTAAAGGTATTGAAATCATTAATATTAAACAAAATCAAACAATGAATTCTATTTGCTCATCAGGTCCTGCAGCTAACATTAGAGGAGCAAAACATCGAATGAAACCTGAATTGGTCAGAAATTGTTTGAAAAGGCAATATTTTTTCAGCAATAGAGTTGTTAATGGATGGAATAGTCTACCAGCCGAAGTTGTTCAATCTACTACAGTTAAAAGCTTCAAATTAAACTTGCAATCGGTCGACTTAGAAGCAATAACAAACAAGATAAAAACCAAGAAAGCTTATTATTAACGTTTTTATTATTTAGTGGCTGAACTAACTTGTTCATTAATTAATTTATACCGGCTGTCAATAATATTGCCTGGCGCTTTATCTCAACAGCATTAATTAATTAATTAATTAAAGTTTTAAAAATATTTGAAATTGTGGTCAAAATATTTGCAAAATGACATTTATAAAAGACTTTTTTTTGAAATTAAAAAAAAAACATTATTTTTAAATAATTAAAAAAAAAATTTTTTATAATTAAAATTATAGCCCCCCTAAACAAACAAAATTGCCATCAAAGTAATTTTTAGCTAATTTTAGTCAAAAAAGTTTAGTTTTTAAAATTAAAATTTCAAGTTAACACCTAAAAGATTTTAAAAAAAACTGTTTTCAAAACATGAAATCTATTTTAAATGATGAGAAAAAAAAAAAAAAATCTTATTCATGCTTTTAAATGTTTTGTATGAATGCAAATTCCCTTAATAATTCTAGCATAGTTTTTTCTAGTTTTGGGTGCAAGAAGATATTCAGTGGGGTCAGAACTGATGTTAATATTCTATATTTAAAAATTTTTTTTAGCATAAAGTCTGAAATTAGAATTTTATCTATTGAAACAGCAAAGAATTCTAATGCAATTGCATTAAAAAGTGTACAACTAATATTTGCTTTAGTTTGCATTAATATTTATAAACTATTTATTATTTTAATATTTATAAACTATTTATTAGGTGTAAATCTTTAAAGGAAAAATATAAATCTATGAGTATATGTTGTTTGAGGTATAATACTAAACATATGATCTTTTGTCTGTTAATAACAACAATACACTAACAACACAGTTAAAATTTGGTTTAATTTTGTTCCAAACCTAACAAAGGTAAAATACATTACTTGATTGATTATGGTAGGCTGCTTGCATCATAAGCGAGAAGTTCCGAGTTTGATCCCCACCACTTCCTGGTTGTACCGCACTCAATTTGTTTCCCTATTCAGTGGCTTTGTTTGTCAAGGTTCATGTTCAATTAAGGAGTTTTTAAGGCTATTATAAGATACTCTAGATTGTCTGCCCTTATTTATTTGTTAAGCTTCTGTAAGTTCTCCATTATTATTATTATTATTTTTTTTTTTGTTATTCACCTCCTCAAGGCCAAAAGGCCACTACAGATGAGGAGGCTACTTAATAGTGGTTGTAACCCTCTCTCAACTCTATAACTCCGAAACACGAACCTTGACGAACAAGGCCGCTGCGCAGAGAAACTAGTTGAGCGCGGTACTACCAGGGACGTGGTGGAGATTGAACTCAGAACCTCTTGCTTATGAAGCAAGTGTTTTACCACTACACCACTACCGCATTTGTTAAGCTTCTGTAAGTTCTCCATTATTGCGTAAATAATTTTCAATAGATTTTAATGGATGATACATTAAAAACTATAAAAATCAGCTAATTCCTCCGAGTTTTCAGATGACCTACTATACTATACTATTTTTAAAAGGAATCATCTCATTCTATCATCAAGTGAAATCAATTTCATAAGGTTTTGTAGATTAGGATCAGCCAAGTATACCAACAAAAGCTTGAAATTTTACTTCTTATTTGTCTTGCATTCTTGAAATTTATTTCTTAATTTTCAATTTAGTTAATATTTCTACTTTGGTTAATATTTCCACTTCATTTTCCACATCACTTTCACTTTAATTTTAGCTAGTAGTAGCTATATTATCATCTAGAGGAACTTTATTGGGATCTGGCACTTGACAAATAATAATCATTTCCCTTCAATTTTTACATTCGTTCAACTTATTTGTATTAGAGTTTGGAACTATTAGTTGATAGTTTGGCTTCTTAGTTTTTTTCATAATTTTCAAACTTGAATCCAATCATTTGTGATTGATTGCTTGATTAAAAAGCTAGTTTATGCAATATCATTTTTCAACTGATTTATTAACTTTACATTAACCACTTTTTCTGACAGCTGCAAGCACTCATACTTTTGTTTTTCATTCTGCTCTATATTATTTATTCGATCAGAAAGTGATGAAAAGATGAGATGAAATAAAATTTCGCTACAAAACTTATGCATTACTTTCTATTGTTTTTGTATGTTACATACATCATTATTATTGTTGTTGCTATTATCATAGTTGCAATAACAATAATAATAATGTATTTAAAGTAATAAAAATATAAAAAGTATAATTGAATAAAATGAAAATTTTAATCTTTATAGAACTGTAACATGATTATGACTTCAGTTTCTGGACATCTGATTGATTTAGACTTTGGTGGAGGTTATAACAAATGGTAAGAGTGTTAGAAGTATGATTTTAAAATTTTCTTGTTTTTGTATTTATAGCTATTTTAATTTAAATTTTTTTAAAAGGAACCAATGTGCCCCTGTTGCGCTGTTTGAGGCTCCAATTTGCAGATTTGTTCCAGACAATTTTAAAGATATTCAGGTAAGGTTATTTTTAAGAAATTAATAATAGTAAAAAACTTAAAAAAAAAAATAAAAAAAAATGATAATTGAGAGTAAACACCTTAATTATAATTTGCAAATATAACTATTGTACCCAGTTTGTACCTAGTGTACTTTGTTAATTTAAAGACATAGTAACATGTTATGTTAAAGACATAGTAACATGTTAATTTAAAGACATAGCAACATAAAAGTATTTGAGAGCTTAGCTGTTTAACTATAAAAGATGTGTATGGTTACCTTGACTTTGTAAAAAGATGATGGATATATGCAGAGAAATATTTAAGGCAGTGTGACACTTGGCTAAACATAATGCATAACTACTCAGATATTTTACAATATTCTGCTGGAGTTTTAAGCTTATACCAGATCTTTTTTTATAAGTTTAACTGATTCAGTTTACATTTTTGTAAACTCTGTTTTAAAGTAGACATAAAAAAAATGCTAGTTCTTTCAAACTGAATTCAACAGCAGACTATGTGAATTCTAATGAAGATAGTGTAGATTTTAGTTGTGGTGAATTCAATGCTACAATAGGTGGTACAGATATCTTTTTATAAGAAAATTAGCCTAAAAAAAGAAAGATTAAGTTATGATTGAAGTTGTTAAAAACTACTTTGATTTATTTCAGTTGCTGAAGTGGTTTTTTATAACCTAGTTATGTTGGTGGTCCATGTAGTAAGAGACCAAGAATGACTGGAAGAAATAAGATAAATAGAAAAATCAGAAATTTTCAAAATTTTTAAACAGCATTTTACTGCTATAATTGAAATAATTGGGCACATAACTGATAATTTTAAACCAAACCATTTAAACTAATTGGCCATAATTCAAAATTTTTCAAAACCATTAATTTTTTTTTTTTTTTAAATGAAGTATACTGCTTATATTATATAAAAATATATAGGTTTGTTATTTATGTTTATTAACAGAACCGCTACAAGGATTTAAAAGACATTTTTGTAATAAATTTTCATTAAAAAATTATAATTTAAATTTTTTTTTTAATTATTCATAAAATAAATTTTCTTTTTGTCAGTATGTTTAGATATCTTAATTTCTACGTCAAAAAGATTTTACTTAAAGTGAAAAAAACTTTTAAAAATTACTATAAAAAAATGCAAAAAAATGCAATTTTTTGTAATTTTAAATTCGCTGTTCGTTTAAAAGACATCTTTCTCAAGCTAATCTAACTCAGTTATTATTATGTTCTGGTTATGGTAATACCTCATAAAAAAAAATTCAGCTGCATATATTCATGCATTATGATAAATTTTTAGCTACTAACACGCAATCTTTTTTTTGCTCTAATATTCTCAATGTTTATAATTCGTATAAAATCAATATAAATGCGTAAAATTTAAAATTTTTTTATAAATACCAATAATTAAGTCATGTTGCTAGGTTTAAAAAATTTTACTTTTTTGTTTTAAATGATTTCATACATCCTTATTTTTATCATGAATTTTTGAAAAAATGCTTTTTTTCATGTATTATATTTATACTGCCCGAGGTGTAGAAACATTTTTTATTTTATTTTCCTATACTACAAATGGTATATGACTTACTTACAAAAATTCAGTTCAAATTATTAAGTTTTTTAGTTTTTATAACAATTTTAAAGTCAAGTACTTTTGATGCATTTGGCGATGGTTAACAACAATTTTTTTAGTATTATTGGAATCGCTTTATTTATTTCCATAGAAACCAAATTTCTATCATAATCAGTTATACAAAAAAATATAATATGAATAAGATTATGGTGCCAAGACAAAAGTAATATTTATGAATTTATATAAAAATAACATTTATCAAAATATTAGTTTACTTAAAATTACTATGTTAGTTAATTAATATTAATAATAATAGTATTATTATGATTAATATTAATTAACTATTTTGTTTTGCAAATGTATTTATAATGACTTGAAAATTCATATCTATAATAAATGTAGATTCAATAGATAGAATTGCTAACCTATTAGGATGATCATTGGTCATTCTTGACCTCAAATAAAATTTTTTTTAATGCTAAAAATGATATCTTGGCCAAACAATTGAATGTTGGACAGCTTAGATACATCCATAATGCATCTGTGCAAGGAAACAGTTCTTAAGGTTTTTCAGTTCTTATAATTTTAAAAGTCAAAATTTTAAGTCACATATATTAAACTTGTTAAATTACTTCTGAATTTTATACACTTGTTAGCAAATGAAGATAAAAAGTAAATTTTTTATTGGCTCCATTGTACTACAATTTTCTTCTTTCTATTTCAGAATGTAATTTGTCAATAATAGTATAATAAAAATTAGTCTTTAAAGATCCTTTTTTGCGTATTTTTCTATGTTTTGTTTCCCGATTGCTCTCTCTTCATAGAACTCTAATTGAATTACCAAATCATATAAACTTGCAATTACTAAATTAATTTCAATTGACTGCAATTGTTTACTAGTTTTGTTGAATCCTTTTACTATATCACCCCATAATGTGACCATTATAGCTGTTTCAAGTCTAATTTTAAATATAGTTGATTAGCTTCTGGTCTTGTGATTGACTTTTCTGATTTATTATCTTTGATAAAAGACAGTGCATTAGTTATCTTCCAATTTCTTTTATTCTTCCAAAAATAAATTTTCTTGCTTTCCAAATTTTTTTGTTTATATATATTTTATTATTAGTTATCTTCCAATTTTTATTAGTTATATTCCAATATTTATTTAAACTAATATTTGCTTCAGGCTTGGTTGGGCAGCAGGAGCGATCACTCTCGAATACTGACGATTATGAAATTATATTTAGTTGCAAAAAACTGGCCAGGTTTTTTAGTCATTTTGAAAACGTTTAAGTTTATGTACGAAACAAAAATTTTTTGTTTTACATACATACATGGAAACATAAAAAACTTAAATGTTTTTAAAAACATTTTGGTGCGTGATAGTAAAAAGAATATTTGTGAACACTAAAAATCCGAACAAACTAATTCTATTGGTTCAAAAAACACGCTGACTAAGCGAAATTTCTAGAGTATTCTGTTGAAATGTTTGAGAATTGTATTATTCACGATTTGTTACGTTTTGAGATTTCTAGCATAAATTGTTTTAAAAATACATTATCAATACTATGGCTCATTCTCGGAGCCACATCTGCAAAGCCATAAATCTTATAAACTATTTTCATTTGTTTACAAAAATAAATGTTTTAAATATATATTATTTAAATAATGAAAATTTTGAAAGTTTATTATAAATTATAGATTTTATTAGTATTTTCTTATTTTTTATTTAAAAAGTATGTATTTTGCACCTGAAGTCATGACAGAACACAAATATATAAAGCAAGTTATTAGATATAGAGAAAAGTTTCTAGAAATATGTTTACTAACTCTAATTATTTTCGCATAAGTTGCCATTCTTAAAAACTCGTTATACTTTTTTCTGCTTTAAATACTAATTAAAATTAAAAAGCCCACTCAATAAATATCATCAGCGATATTATGAATTAGTTTCGCTTCCTTGTCATAAAGTTTTTTAACCTTTTTAGTTGATTTTTATCTTGGTAATTTAATTTCTATAGTAATTTGATGATTTTATTATTTCATTTGTTTATCTTACTAATAAGAATTGTTTCAAATATTTTAAACTTTTCAAACTACGCGAAAAATAAAATAGATATTAAAAAAAATTAATTTTTTATTTATAAAATAATTTAGCTTAGGCAAAACAAAAACTTGCAAACTTTGTTAAATAAAGAACATTTGTTTCCTTTTTAAACAATCGTGAGATGTTACTTTATATAAAAAACGCCACCTAGTTCTATAAAAAAATTATAAAAGAGCGATGTTTCGAAAATATTTGTTCTAAACGTAATTTATTTTACTTTAAGTTTTTTTGCGTTAAAAGATATTTTATTTTCATATTTTTTTTTTTTTTTTTTTTTGTTATTGTTTTTTATCTTCCAATTAATCTTTTGCTGAATTTTTTTTGTTTTTGAAATGTTCTCAAAACGACTAAAAAATCTGGCCAGCTTTTCGCTACTAAATATTATTTCCGTGGTCAGCAATCAAGAGCAATCGTTCCCGCTTCCCGACCAAGCTTGTTGCTTTAGATCTTACTGACCAGGGTTATTTTTTTTGAGTTTTTAAATTGATACATTTTCTGTTTTAATTAAATTATTCTGAAGTATTTCCCATCTAAATGTAGAAGCTCTGAAAAATTTAAAACTCAAATCTTTCTGTCAGACAGCTATTGTTTTGAACATACCAAAAAATAAGTAAAAGTTGATCTACATGGCTTGTGTCAAGAATTAAAATCAATACCGATAAAAAAAAATATTGAAAATTTTAACCCAAAAAAATGGTTTACTGATCAATTCAAAAATTTACTTTGAAAATTATGTTAAAAAAATGTTAATGCTTTTTATAAAAGAACATTATTGCTACAATCCATATGTATTTTGGGCTGATCTTTCTTCTCATTATTCTTCTTATTCTCATGCTTGCTCCTTCTCATTACGCTGTCAATCTGTTCAAGATTACTTAAAAGGAGAATAGGTAATTTTTTTTTTTTAACATCTTTTCTTCCAACAAGGCTGAAAGCAACCACTATTAGAATTGGAAGTTACTGGAAGAGAATAGAAAACGATTGTAGAGCAAGATAACGATTGACAGACAACTTAAAAGATAGCAAATTATATGAATTAGGAAAGCAAGATGAAGGAATTAATTCCAAAGAACTGATGTTCAAGGAAAAAAACTAGATAAATAAGAGTTTTTGGAGCACTTAGGAATAGTCACAGTAAGAAGATAAGTCTTAATTGAATGACAAGTAACACAAGAATGAATTTTAGTAGATGGCACAAGAGATGCTAGCTCTTTAGAGCCCTACCCATTATACAGTATTGTGAAAAAGTTAAAAACCACTAAATAAAAAAATAAAAATTATTTCAAATAAAATTAAATAATTTTTGTTCTAAAGATAATAAACTAATGTATATGTAAGTATGGCATGAGGAAGGTTGTACTGTATTACATGTTACAAGTAGCAGAGTGAATATGATGATATTATTCCTGACATGACCTGAAGCAACAGAAATACTAGGAATTTCATGAAATAATAGGAGCTAGACAAAATACGAGAAACTACATCACAAATTAGGAACCATATAATAACAACATAGGAACAATAAAGAAGCTACAAGAAATATCTAGAACAATACAAAACACCAGAAATTACATAAAACACCAGGAACTATATGAAATATCAAAAACTATATATGTTTTGTTAAAATGTTAGGTACTAGATGAAATACAAGAAACTACGTAAAACAACCGGGGCTATTCAGAATATCAGTAACTACACAAAGTACTAAGAACTATATGAAATATCAGAAACTATACAATACATTGAAAACTATATAAAAATATAGGAAACAAATAAAACATCAGACACTTGATAAAGTATCAGAAGCAACTTCAAGATGAAAACCCAGAAGGATGATACCACACATTACATCTATTGAACTTTTTCAACCTTGCTCTTTATCTATTCAAATCTTCTGAATGAAACTTTAAATATAAATATTTATTTATTTTTTAACATCTTTGCTTCTAAAAAAGGCTGCAAGCAACCACTATTAGAGTTGGAAGTTACTGGAAGAGAAAAGATAATGTTTATAGAGCAAGATGACGATTGACAGACAACTTAAAAGATTTCAAATTATATGAATTAGGAAAGCAAGAAGGAAGCGAGTTCCAAAAAACTGATGTTCGAGGAAAAAAACTAGACAAATAAGAATTTTCAGAGCACTTAGGCGCAGTCACAGTAAAAGGATGAGACTCAATTGAACAAAAAGTAACACAAGAATGAATTTTAGTAGATGGCACAAGAGACGCTAGCTCTTTAGAGCAGTGCCCATTATAGTATTTATAGAAAAGAGAAAGAGAAGCAACATTAAATGATGTGATAATGGTTGGATGTTGGCTGCAAGAGCAGGTCCAACTATGTTTACAATGCGTTTTTGCACCTTGTTTAAAAGAGAAAGGGCTTTGTACAATGTCTTTCTAAATCAATAAAATTTAGACTAGATTCTATAAGAAGAGATATCATAATTGATATCAATAAATATTATGTTTATTAAGTTTTTTATTAAGTGTTATTTAAAAAAAAATAATAATAATATTAATGATGTTAAGACCATATAAAGTTATTCCAGATTGCAGTTGAATACCCATTAAAACATTTAATAATTAGTTATTGGCAAATATGAAGAATGATATTAGGTAGATTAATTGATTTATTGACATATTTTGATGATATATATTAGAATAGTATTATTAAATATAAATACAAAATAAAATATTATTTAAGAATGAGTTTGAATTATGCAAAATAATAATTTTATACAATTATTAGCAGAAAAAAAACCCAGCTTTATTTATAAAAAGATATCCACAAAACTTGAATTAGCTTTAATTAATTAATTGTTTTAACTTGAATTAACTTAAATGTTTATATCTTGTATTGTAAGTGTTAAGTAAAAAAAAAATAACAATGTTTACCAGATAAATAAGTTTTGTTAAAGCCACTGTTTTGAAAACTGTTTTGTCAGGTTTAGAGAAAATTATTTACTCTGATTTAGTGTATTTGTAAAGACTTGTCAGTAACAGTAACAACAGTAAAATTGAAGAGAAATAATATTGTAATCACACATTGCTGTTGTTCTTCACTAGAGAAACATAAGAGTTTTATGGCAAGTAAGTGAAAATAAGAAAATAAAAAGAGAAAATAAGAGTAAGATTATGAGAGAACTTTCCAGTTGCTTTTGTGAACTTTCCAGTTGCTTTTGTGAACTTTCCAGTTGCTTTTGTGAACTTTCCAGTTGCTTTTGTGAACTTTCCAGTTGCTTTTGTGAACTTTCCAGTTGCTTTTGTGAACTTTCCAGTTGCTTTTGTGAACTTTCCAGTTGCTTTTGTGAACTTTCCAGTTGCTTTTGTGAACTTTCCAGTTGCTTTTGTGAACTTTCCAGTTGCTTTTGTAAACTTTCCAGTTGCTTTTATACTGTTTAATTACCAGATGTGTTATTATTACTTGATGATTTATTACTAGTGAATATATTTTTGTGAATGTTGTTGATAATGTTGTTAAGTTCTGTTGTTGATGATATTATTAAGTTCTGTTGTTTTAGCAGTTGATATAAATTTCGTGTGTGCGCATGGTTGTAGCATTATTTAGTCATTAATATTTTTGTTAAACGTAATAAATACCAGACAAGATTGAAGTTTGTGTAACTAGCACAAATATCAGTTGTTATACAGGAGTATAATGGACAGTGTCAATTGTTCCGACAATGATTTATGAATGGAACAAAAATCAAATGAAAGAAGCACATGATCTGTTCTTGATGGAAAGAGTCAAAGAAAAGCTTGAAAGAAGTTTAGTGTTTTTACTGGCTGAAAAATATCGAAACCATCAAAAAGATGGTTTTGATGTTTTTTGTTAATGCTGCTAATGAATCATTTCACTTTATATTATTACCAAGTACATAATCAATCAAGCACTATAGATTTGACCTTGCCCAAGCAAGTGCATGTATCTTTAAAAGTATGGACCAAGCAAAGAATTGCAAAGCTGTGCTTAAAGCACTGTTTTTCTGTCATCTGTGCAACTAGCTAGACTTCATGAACTTATTTTTGATGGAAACAGTTTAATAATTTTACAGAGTTGATTGAAATTATAATTAAAAATAAATATGATATTGTTAAGTTATCTAAATCTAGTTATTTTATGCTTTAAACTGGATACAACTATGTGATTGAACTTTCTTTATGTTGCTAAAAGGCGCCTATAGCGATGCATACCAAAAATTTATGAATGGAGTTATACTTACCTATGTCAAATTTTTTAGACTTTTAAAAGCAAGGGCCAAAACCCTCAGTTGGAACAATATTTAATATGGTTTTAAATCTTGTGGAGTTTACCCTAATTTTTGTTTAATATAGGATTCTTTGAAAAGCTTATTTATCAAACTTATATCTTTTTATAGAATTATCTACTTACTCAAGACCTTTTTTTTTATGAATTTTTTAATTCCTACAGATCAAGGTTAAGACATAATAAAAAATTCTGGATCTCAACTTGGTGTCAAGTAAAAAACACAAAATCGAATTGAGAAATTTTTTATTTTAATATCAAAAGAAAAAGGTCTGTAAAAAAATTTTGAATATTAAAAGAGGAGAAAAGAGGAAAGTAAAATTGAAGAAAGTTTAAAAATATTGCAAAGCAGACTGTTTTGATAGAGTAACTTAATCTTTTTTGGAATAATGTCAAGAATTTACACTCATGTCATAACCATTGAGAAAACTGTATGAACGTTTTCAAATGTTTTTTATTTGTTATTTTTTGTTTTAAGTCATGATTATCTGTTATACTGTCAGATGACATTAAAAAATATGATGAAATTAAAAATTTATAAAAATTTGTGTTGAAGTACAAGTGGAAAATAAAATATAATATAAACTAATTTTTAATTAATTAATTAATTTAAAAGTTCAAACTTAAATTTTTAATTTTTTTTTCCTTTTTTTTTTTTATAAAAAATATAACTTTTTTATTGTTAATTTTTATTTTCAATCTTGCGTTTTATTTATTGTAATTTTTTTGGCTCTTTAGACCATTCAAATAAAATTAGCAATAATAATATTATATTACTATTTTTAGCATTTCTAAAATATTATATCATTATACTATAAAATATTATACTATATTATTTTAGTGATTATTAGTTCATATATTTGTAATTTTTATATACATTCGTATGATTTATCTAATTCATCAAACTTATTAACTTATCCAATTTTTAAAAATTTCAGCTTTAAAAATATAGAAGATATTTATGATTGAGTAGATATAATGATATCTTTAGTAGCTACCATCATTGTTAGTGATTACGAAAGTATATAATGATATCTTTAGTAGCTACCATCATCATTAGTGATTACCACCATATATAATGATATCTTTAGTAGCTACTATCATCGTTAGTGATTACCACTGAGTATATTGATATCTTTAGTAGCTGCTGTCATCATTAGTGATTACCACCATATATAATGATATCTTTAGTAGCTACCATTATTGTTAGTGATTACCACTGTAGTTTTGTTATTTTTTAGTTTTTAAAATTTTATATTTGTTAGTTTTTATAAAAATAAAAATAAATATTTAATAAGGTTTAATGTGTATTTTGTTATTCAGAAAACATTAGAGCGTGAAGTGCGCAAATGTCAAGCACTTATAATCTGGACTGATGGGGATCGTGAAGGTGAAAATATAGGTTTTGAGATCATTGAAGTGTGTCAAAAAGGTAGTTTTTTCTTAATTGCCATGTTATTTGTTATTTCAGTACTTAATATATGTTTCACATATTCCAAGTGAGTAGTGCACATATGTTTTTTGTTTGTTATTTCAGTACTTAATATATGTTTCACATATTGCAAGTGAATAGTGCACATATTGCAAGTGAAAAGTGCATTAGATTTTGTTAATATTAACTTTTAAACATACATTTGAAAGTTTTCAAAAAAAAAATTAATTTATTGAGACTATTTTGCTATACACCTATTTACCATCTAAAGAAATTGTGGTTTTCATAAAAATCATAACTAAGATCTTAAACAAAGAAGAGAGAAAAAAGATAGATGTTTATTGAATTTTTTTGTTTTAAGTTAGTTATTTGATAGAATCAGTGGTTTTTCTTGATTCAATTAAATTTCTAAAGCCTTGAAACTTTAAACATCAGATGTTCATAGAGGGATTTGTCTTGGACAAGTCTAACTCAAAATTTTGTCAAATTTTGAAGACTAATGAACTTTAAATATGCTAAAGAAAGCAAAACAACTTTTTTTTTTCAAAAACAAATAAATAAATTTATTTATTTCATTTTGTCATTATCTAACTTATAATGTGAGTAGAAAAGTATATAAAGCCTGTTTTTTTACATTGTTATTTTACCTTTGTATAAAAAGCTCTTTATTTTTAACAGCCGTCAACGTAAATTGATTCACATTGAGTATTAGACTTCAATCATTTTATTTTATTTTATATCCCAAGTAGCACAGTTTTTTGTCTTGCTGGCATCTTTTATATCAGCATCAGATCAACATTGTTTTTCTTTTTTAAGCAATGTTGGCCATAAATTAGCAAATTCTTCATTAGCAAGTAATATTGACTTGATATCTGTGAACGCCCAATAAAATTACTCACTCTTGTTTACTATACGCAGCACTAATCATACTAAACATGAACACTTATTGGGGCATATTCAAACATTTAAAAACTTTCTAAGTAAAGATTTGTAAATTTTCAAATTTTTTAATATTTATTTTGATTAGGTATTTATAAATGGAAAAATGAGACAGACATACATATAAACCCTTCATTTGAACTATATAATTTTTTTTTTTTTTTTTTTAATTCAGATTCCTTCTTAATAAGGCTGCAAGCAACCACTATTAAGTTGGGAGTTACTAAAAAATAAAGAATAGAGTTATAGAGCAAGGAAACAGTTGACCAGAGTTGTAGGTTGTATGAGTCAGGAAAACATGAATATGGGAGAGAGTTCCAAAGGGATTTTGTGCGGGGAAAAAAAACTAGACAAATATAAGTTTTTAAATCATGCAGGAACAGATACAATAAACGAATGAGGCTTTTTTGAATGACGAGCCAAGCAAGAATGAGTTTTAGTTGTTGGAGCTTCCATTTTTGTTGGAGAGATTATTGCTCCTTTGAGCAGCGACCATGATAATATTTGTTAGATAGAAAAAGAGATGCAACTTTACGATGACGGAAGAGAGGCCTAAGCTAAGCAGATAAAACAAGTCCAACTACATTTACAATACATTTTGGACTTTGTTTAGAAGAGAAAATGCATAGTTAGACGAACCAACCCAAATATGGCAACAGTTTTATATACAGGGGCAAATAAGAGATTTGTAGAGGTAGGGAATAGAATAAGGAGTAAAAAATGGTGAAAATGATAAAGAAAAGCAACCTTAGCAGATGTTAATTTAGCAATCGATTGTATATATAAATATGAACAATAATCCAATAAAACATAAAGAAGAGGACTCTGTGAGATGGTTGCCATTCATTAATATAGGAATGTTGACAGTATTTCAATTGTTGTTTGCAGTAAATAACTGAGTTTAGCTGGAGTTAAAATTCACAAGCCACTGCAAACCCCAATCTGTTGCAGATGTAAAATCAAGACTTTTCATGAAGGCAGGAGTATTAAGTTAAGTCTTCAGTAAATAGTGCCACTTTAGATGTAAAATCATTAGTATAGATAAAAAACAAAACAGGACCAAGGGTCCTGTTTTGTTTTTTATAAACTTGAGGTACTTTGAAAATTATTGGAAATAAAGAAGAGTGTTGGCCTTAATGTTGGATGACTTTAATAAAGCAGCTAGAAAGAAATGATTTGATAATCTCAAAAATGAAGAAAACTTTTGAAGAAGCCAAACTTTATTGAAAGCTTTATATCAAGTTTATATCAAGTTATATCAAAGCGTTAGTTATATCAAAGTAAAATTTTTGTAGAACAATTTTGTAAGACCAATGTTGTCTGGACCACAAGCTGTAGAAGAGTTTAATTGAGATATGACTTTAGCAGCAAAAGCTGAAGTGATATGAACGTCTAACAATCAGTTAACTTGTTTAGCTGGAATGAAAGAAGATAATCATAAGATTCTAGAGTTAAATTAAAAGAAAAGTTCTCTGTAAACAGTTCAGCCTTATTCTTGTGATAGGTAATAAGACCAGTCCCATCAATGAGAGATGAAATATTAGACCTAACTTTGTTAAAAATGCTGTTGAGGATTTTCCAAAAGTCTCTGGCACCTAACTTCTTTGATAAGATATGAGATTTAGTGAACAAAGAATAATTGAGCTTGGGATTAGACAGTACCTTTTTGTATTGATTTTTTGCAATAATAATTTGTTCTCAAGTGAGTTTTTTCTTTTGAAAAAGATGAAAAAAATGATTATGAATGGGTATAGCAGTTGCACAAGAAGGTAAAAACCATGGGAGTAAAATGATGATTGATTTGGAACGGATGAGAAGGAATAAAAACTTTTATTTCTGCCTGGATCTAGGAGGTTACATAGGAAGTGCATTTATTAGTGGAGACGGAAAAGACGTTAGCCCAAGGGCCTTCACAAAGAAAATTGCAAAAAGAATCCCAGTCAGCTTCAGGGTAGTAGTAAGTAGTGTGATGATAGGGTGATTTTAGAAGAAAAAGTACCAGATGAAAGATTTATATAAATCATTGCATGGTCTATATAAATGGTCATTTCACCATCTAAAAGAGTAAAAGAAGAAACTGAACGTAAGTTAAGGTCAATAACAAGACACAAATCAAGGAGTAAAGGTAAGTGATTAGGGTTGTCTAGAAAATGAGTTGCAAAGTTAACTATTTCAGTAATAGTTTGAAGTTGTGGACTTAAGTACCAGCAGGGTCAGTGGTGTTAGAGCTAAACCATTCAGTGTGATGAGCATTAAAGTCTTCAATAACAACAATATTGGCAGAGGGGTAAAGTGAAAAGGCATGGTCAATTTGATAAGAAATTACATTTAGAAGAGTACAGTCTTGGAAGGAAAGAGAACAATAAAGAACAAAGAAAAAGGTGATAGAGTGAAGATGTGCTAAGCGGAAGCACATAAAAGAGAGGTTTACATCTACGTTAGCCTAATAAATAAAGAAGGGGTTCAAGGGTGATGAACAAAATTATTCTGCTAACCCCTAAAGTCTTTGCCTAGAATTCCTTCTACAAAACAGTAGCTTGATCCAGTTAACATCTGCTTAAGAAGAGTATTTTTATTGAGACACCTTTACTCAATCAAAAGCTCCAAATCAGGGGAGTTTTAGCTAGATACAGTTAACAGCAAATTATGTTAAAGTTAAACTGGGTAACATTAAATAAAAGCATAAATAATTCTTTTTTTCCTGAATTATTTTTTTTTATCTGCACTATTAAGTTAAAGAACATGCATTTGAGCATTCAAAATTTATTGATGGCATTCAATGTTGTTGTTTATTAAATGCAGATCATTTTAATGAACTTCAAAATTAATTGGTATTTATAGTTTATTTCTAAAAAGAATCTGTGAAATTCTCATTTTAATAATATTCAAAGATTTTCAAAATAACTTGCAAAATAAAAATCGTTAAAAATGTAAAAAAATAACAATTTAAAAAAGGTTACCTAAAAACTGTTAATGTAAATGTGTAAAATGCATTTAAAATTTATCCAATTTGAATATTATTATATTAAAGTTTATATTTTAGATTTGAATAATTGCATGACGTTCCAAAATTGTGTTAAAATTTTGAAAAGAAAAATCCCATATGGGGAAAAGTTTTGTTGCCAAACATTTGATTTACGAAAATATTCTGTCAACAGCATACTGACTTAAATTTAATAATCAAAACAAAACAGGGGATACCATTAAAAGTGCCAGTAAACCAACATCTTTACATAAAATATATAATCATGGTTTAATTCTATTCTGGCAGTCATAAGCAATTAAAAACTGTGTTTTAGTCTGATCAATTATTACCTCATTATGCTATTGCACAGCATTCAACCCAAATTTATATACGAGTCCACCAAGTTTTCAATAACTATTATTAACTGGCTCTTGCCCAATAAGCAACATTTGTAAGGAAGGAGGTGTGAACTTCTAGTTAAATGCTTTCCCGCAGTACTCCATGATAAGACCGTAAGGACCTCTGAGAGCACCTAAATAACCTAAAATAAAAAAAATGCTCTTCGCTTGGTTTAATTAATTTAAGAATTTTCTAAAGCAATAATTCTGTTAAAACAGATAGTAAAAAATTGAGTATGTAAAAAGAATTAAAAACCAAACTAATGTGATTAAGGTTTGTCCAGTTAAAGATTTTTGGAACCAAAAATGCCAAGTTTACCATAACAAAATTAAAAATATAAAATAACTCTAACGTAGGATCAATAATAACATTAAAACATCTTCTTTTGAGAATTTATAGGTTTTAATATTTATGAGGATGCCATGGACTACAGAGAGACTGAATAAATTGCCAGAGAAAGGATCATGAAAGCCAAATATTGTGTTTTATTTATAAGTTTTACAATAAGTTTATAGATGTTTTTATTTGCATTTATAGATGAATCTGAAACTATTTTTTTTTTTTTTTTTTTTTTCATGGTTAGTTGTTTATAAAGTTTGAAAAAAAGTCGCATCTTTCTATTTTTATTTTAGCTGAGATGCAATATATCACACGTGTTTCTGTATTATTTTCTTCATTTATTGTAAGATTTGCAGGCATTACATCGAAAAATAACTCTTTAAGCATAAAAATTGAGTCTTCTTACAAGCTTTATAAAATAAAAAACCTGTCAAAATAAATCAAAATACAATGCAGCTGATCAAATGTGCATGTTGCGCCAATATGATTTTTATGTTTTTATTTAGCTGACCAAATGTGAATGTTTGATCTATGTAGGGCCATTGCTAGTGTGTTATCTGGGATTTTATCATTAGTATATTATTGTTATTATTATATTCTTATATATCCCAACTGCATTGCATTGTCAATTATTTTACATATTTCAATTACATTTTTCGATACTGATCATTTATAATATTTGGCTTCTCCACTTTTGTTATAATCAACTCCACTTTATTTTTAGATTTATACCAAGATAATGATAATCTTTTATTTTAGCAAAATCTAATATTGATGTCTACAGAGCAAAATTTTCAGAAATAACTTCAAGGTTTGGTATACGTTTTTATTTTTCCATTTACAAATTACAAAATCAGTTTCAACAACAACAATAACAACAACAACAACAACAACAACAACAACAACAACATTAATAACAATTACTATAGCAACAATAACAATATCAACAACAACAACAACAACAACAACAACATTTTAAAACAACGCTTAATTAAGTATTAAATGAATAACATTCATTTAATACTTAATTAACCACTGTAGAATTAGTTTTTTGTAATAAAAAAATAGATTTTTTTCTATAATAAAAAGGTTCATACTAAGCAGTACTAAACAGCCAGGTAATGTCACATATTAACCAGTTTTTGTCACCAATTGGCCATTTAAAACTCATTTTTACTATATCTTTCCTTTTAGGGCTGTTCATCAAGCTTGTAGAAATCTTGTTGCACCTGACAAAAATGTTTCTAATGCGGTAGAAGTAAGAAGAGAGTTAGATTTAAGAATAGGTGAATAGTATGATTCATTGTGTTAGTTTGATATATAGCAAATAGTATGATTGAATGTGTTACTTTGATGTATTGTATAGCAATACATATAGAAAAATGATGCTTTAATATTTCTAGGAGCATCTTTCACTAGGTTCCAAACAATGCGGTTGCAAAAAAGATTTCCAACTGTTTTGGCAGATCAACTAATTAGCTATGGTAAGGAATTAATTATAATTATGTTAATTATGTTAATTATATTATAATTATAAAGAACTTCTATGTTTATACTAGTTAATATGATGATACTACATTAGTTTTAAAGATGTAGTTTTTATTTTGCTTATCTTTTAGAGCGCTTGCAATAAATGTAAAAAATGTTTTACATTACTCAACTACTCCCCTAAAAATAATGCATGTTGCTCTATGAAGCAATTTTCTTAACCTTGTTAATTGGTTTTTATTTTAGAGTTTATAGACTGAGAGAGAGCAAGGGTGATATGTTTCTTATATCTATTTACATATAGTTTATTTTTTTTAAATTGTATCTTTAGGTTCATGTCAATTTCCAACACTTGGCTTTGTTGTAGAAAGAGTTAGAGTTTTTCTTACTTAAATATAAATCTTTATTTTTTACTATTTACACACAATACTTAATATAATATTACTTTAATTTTTTTTTTAATTTAAAAATTCAATTTTTATAAAATATTATTTATTAGTATAAACAAGTCCAAGAATTTCTTTCAGAAGAATTTTATAAAATTAAAGGTAAAAATTTTATATATTTTAAATCTATTTATTTTTATTATTTGTAATTTATTATGAAAATTTCAAATTTATTTTAATTTTATTTAAACAAAGCATATTTTTTTTGTATCTCAAAGCAATTCATGGGGTTATGACATGTAACCATGACATGTAACCATGACATGTAACCATGGGGTAACCAAACTTTAGAGATCCTATCAAAATCTTTTAGAAAAATCTAAAAAATAAATGTATAATTAATGACTTAATAAACTATTATTAAAATAAATGTATAATTAATGAATTAAAAAAATAACTGCTCAAAAACAAAAACAAATAACTACTTAAAATCAAAAGTAAGAACTTTATATATAAATTATATATATAATATAACTTTATATATAATATATAACTTCTTTATATCATTGTTCTAATTTACATTTCCAAGTTTTTATTAAAATGAACCTTTTATGACAACTTGGTTGGTTTATTTTTACTTGACTGTTCATAGATAAGAAAGATGTTTCTGCTTATCAATCATACTGGTAAATGACACTAGTAATAAAGAAGTAGTTAAATATTGTAAAAACATACCAGTGTCAAAACCTAATATGGTAACAGGATATTATATGCATTATAAATTATCCGAATAGCATTGATAAATATGATCAATATCTTAGTTGATGATTTTATTGAAGAACCATAAATTAATGGTTAAAATTTTTTGTTTCATTGACAAATTTATTGTGATCATAATACAGGAATGAAAGCTTAGTACCAGTCCTACAAAAGTTTTAAAGTTGTTCTCATCTAGCTTAGACAATTGAGGAAACAAATAATACAGCATGCGCTTGCAAGATAAACATTTTGCAGTAGCAAGTATCTAAGTCCTAGAAAATGTTTTACAATTTGTAGATACTCGGTGTAGTTAAGGCGATTTACAAAATATTTGAATATTTTTATTTGGAATTAGCATGGTTTTATCAGCATATTATGCCCAAACAAGATCTTTAAATGTTATAATTTTTTTGCTTAAGGTTTTTATAATATTTGAAGAAACTTTTCTTTTTTATATATAATTTTTAAAATCTTTTTACAAACCGTAATAATGTATCTAAAGAACACTATTTTGGAGTCTTTAGATCAATTTCGCTCATTGACATTAACATGAGTTTAGTTAATCTTTTTAAAAAGTTACTTAATTTACTACTGATCCTAGTTCTAATCAGTTCTGACGTATATTAACTATATATAGTTGTCAAAACACAATATTTCTATCAATTTTCACAAAAAATACTGGAATTCCAACCAAGAAAGAGCTTATAATTATAAATAATTGCCATTAAACGATCAGAACATATCATATTGTTAAACTATAATGTTCATTTCACCTAAAAAACGTATTAATATAAAATCTTATTTAAATTTGGATGAGCGATTGTGATTTTAAAATAATTTTTTTTTTTAAAAAAGATTCCACGGTCTGGGTTTTTTTGCTACAAACATTTATATTTTATGATACTGCAAAATTTATTATTTTAATTTTTTTTGTCTTTTCATAATTCACAGACCAGACCATTTTACGGAAATATGTCATAATCAACAAAATATCATACAGACGCTATAATATTTTAAAGTGCCTTAACTACACCAATTACCAAAAATAATAAAAAAGGAAAACATGGAATTGTTGTAAAAAGTGCGAAAAATGTTTGTTATTTTTGTTTTGAGTCATTATACTTTAAATTAAATTTGAAGAAGCCATTATTTTTAAGGAAAGCTGTTTTGTATTGATTTTTAAAGTTTAGTATAGTATACATTTACTGTAAAGATGTAACTCCTGGAACAGAGCATGAATACAAGCTTTGGTATTGGCAGTCTAAGAAGGTTGCATTGTACAATTTATGTAAATTTTTTATCTAAAACCACTTGTAACAGTTTTCCAAAGTTTTTGAATACAATTAAAATGAATTCTTAAGCAATCATAGCAGAATTATTTTAGACAGCGAGGTACTTTATAGCTTGTTGTTGATTACGTTCAATTTTTCAAGTTTTATAGCTCTAACATTTATAATAATTATCACAGACTGAGGGAGTTGCAAGTTCTACATGCTGTCTAATATAAACTGTGTATGATTTTTTCATTAGCTAGCTTTAGATGCAATTTCCGAACCGTCTGCATACCACGAGCATCTATATACCACAAAGCATCTTTATACCATTACCATGCAATGTGCATGCAATGACCATGCAATGTGATAGTGATGCCAAGATTTATGAAAAAAAGATGCAGCTTATGGTGGAAGATGCAGCTTGTGGTGGTGGAAGATGCAGCTTGTGGTGGTGGAAGATGCAGCTTGTGGTGGTGGAAGATGCAGCTTGTGGTGGTGGAAGATGCAGCTTGTGGTGGTGGAAGATGCAGCTTGTGGTGGTGGAAGATGCAGCTTGTGGTGGTGGAAGATGCAGCTTCAAACATATATGTTTAGATGTTACTTTTCCAATATATGTGCTTTTACTAATGCTTTTAGACAAGCCAGGTTTTAAGGGAACAGCTTTTATTTGTTTAAAATCTTAAGCAAAATGTTTTGAAGATGTTAGTAGAACATAAAGTTTTAGCATAATGTTCACAACATGTTTAGCAATATTTCTGTGATATTTGAGGCCAAAATTGAATTGAACTTTTTTTTTTTAAAAAAAATCACCTATCTGGAAAGATGAACCAAGCACAGCTTGCCACACCAAAAAGGGAAAAATGGCTTTAAAAAATTTTTTGCTTTAAAAAAATTGAAAAGATTGATTAACAATAACAACAGTTATATACATTTATTTAAATTTTTTATTTGTTTTCATATTAACAAAAAAGTTATTTAAAAAAAATTAAAATATCTAAATTAAAAACAGAAAAACGCTTATCTGTTTTCTATCTAGATATTTTAAATTCAATCAGCTTCCTGATGAACTCAATGTGAAGAAAGTTGTAGAAGTCAAAGAAAGCTTTTTTTTACTTTAATTAAATAAGTTTTTAATTACTCATTTTTAAATTTTAGTTACTCATTTCAAAGATGAATGTACAGCTAATTTTGTATGGAAAAGGTGAAAAAATTTTTTATAAAAAAAATAAATTCAAAAATGATGTAAAAGTTTTTTTACGTTTTATACAAGATATACTCTCTCTTTCTTATTAAATGATGCTAAAAAAGTTCATTAGACTTGCACAATGTGCATCTAATTTACATAATTTTGCATGTGTATATTTTTATGTAGGGGTCGTCTTTTTCATGAACGAGTGTGCTCAATTTTATGTAATATGTGCCAAGAGGTACTCTTTTTTTTTTTTTAAGATCTTTTGATCTCAGACTCAGACTCCTCAAAAATAAATATTTATTCAAAATGATTTAGCCCATTAACAGTCCATGCCGCATTATTACGCAAACTAAAAGTGGTTCCGAAATGTCCATGCCGCAATATTTTGGTTTTATGCATTTTCTTATAATTCCTTAATGTTCATCAGTAATTATATTTCACAAAATTTATTACTACACAATTATAGAGCTTTTGTTTCACTTTTACCTTTATTTAACATTCACTTTTTGTTCACTTTAATTTTAAATATGGCAAATAAGGAAGTTCTTTCAGTACAAAAATAATTATCAAAATGTAAATATTTACTCACGAAAAGATAGAAAATTATACATTTGGTAAATTAATAATGAAAAGGTTTATTTGATGAATAATTATTGAAAATGATAATAAAAGATTAATGCTTAAAGAATAATATACAATAAATGTATATAAAAAGGTATATAAAGGTATATAAAAAGGTAATAATAAACCACTTCAAAAAAAAAACTGGACTAATAGCAACCGTATTTTAAAAAAAAACATGGGACTGTTAAAGGCTTAATAATAATAAATTGTTTTTAACCTTTTTTTTTCTCCTTTTCAGAATCCTCGAGCTACAGTCACAAACATGATTTCTAAACCAAAAAGTAAATGGCGACCAGTTGCTTTAGACACTGTTGTACGTTGTTTTTACATAAATATAATATATCTTAATATATACTATAAATATAAGTATAAATATAAGGGCATCAATAAAGTGTGTACGTAAATTTGAAATTTCTCTACTTATATTATAAAAGTGTGATTAGTTCAAGGAAAATCAGAAACCCTGAGAAAAAATTATATGAAAATGAATGAAAAAGATTTAAATTTTTAGGGTAAACACATGCAAACAATTTTTAGGGTAAACACATTTTTAGGGTAAACACATAAATTTTTAGGGTAAACACATTTTAAGGTAAATACATAATTTAGTACATTTCTTTTCCCTTGTACGCACTTTTACCTCTTTGAGTAATTGTTGCCCCTTTAAATGTATACTTTGTAGATGTCTCTTTTAGTGTATGTTGTTAGGTCCACAAACAGTATATCAGTTTGTTTAATAATATTATTATTTTCATTATTTTATATTCTTATTATAATTTCCTGTTAACCCTTTCACTCCTATTAAAAAAAAGTAAAATGATTGCACAAGAAATGTTATAATTGATTTAAAGGGCATAAAATAAAAACTACTCATCAAAATTTTAAAAAGAAGACCTTGTTTTTTTGTTAGTTTTTTTTGTAAGAAAAATGGCCTACAAAATATTTTATAAATCTAATTTTTTTTAGCCTTGGTTTTGTGATCAAATGCCATTTTTAGAGTGGTCACATTTACTAACAAATGTTAAGATTAAATATTATTGTTGAAATTATTGGTAAAGTGCTCTCATAAGCAGGGATATGAAGTTAAAATTCTACACGCTCCTAATTATATCACTTTTATTTTTGTTATTTAAGCAGCAACTTGTTTTTCATGCTTTGATTTTTTCAAATGTTTAATTTTTCAATTATTTGAAATTTAAAAATCAAATAAAACATGTTTTTTTTTTAATTTAAAATCAAAAAATCTTTTTTCTTTACTCCTATTTTCTAATAGCAAGAAAAAAGAAGACATTGCATTTTCTAAAACTTTGAAAAATTAATACTTGCTAAAAAAGTTTATGTTATTTAAAATAAGTTATATATACCAAAAATATTAACCATATCCCGGGATGATCTGCTGTCACCTTTAACCCCAGGATCCTGTTTGAGAAACCCATATTTTTACAAAAATAAAAATTTCTTTAAATATTTAAAGTTTCTGCTTGAGCTTGAAAATAGTTTGTTTTGGCAAAAATGACGCAAAATGTAATACTTTAGACATATATTACTTATGGTTTCATATTTTTTATTTTCAGTTTTTTTATATGATTTTTTCCTATTTTTTTTAATTGTTATTACTTATTAATATTAAATATCAAATTAATAAATTAATTAAATAAATCAATTAATTGTATAGTGATATTTTATTTATTGCTTTTTTGTGTTTTATTTTCCAGTCATAAGATTTGAAACTAACCTTAATATAGCCTTAATCTAGTTTGTAATACTGCTGTGACGTAATACTGATGTATTGTAACTTAAATTTTGATGTAATTTATTTTGGCTTACATATTTTGTTATAATCTTAGTCTAGTTTAGATGTTCTTAATTGTGTTGTGATGTAAATTATTTTTGTCTACTGATGGGTACAATATAATGTTAGGAAATCTTCAATATTATTTGGTCAAGTAACCTTTTTTTTTTTTTTTAATTTTTCATTCTCTCTTAAAGAATATAAAGTGACATTCTGAATTTGTAAGTTTGAAAAGTACTTCCCATCTCTCATCACTTCATTTCCATCCTAACTTAAAAAATAATATTTTTGTTTTACCTGCGTGTATATATATATATATATATATATATATATATATATATATATATATATATATATATATATATATATATATATATATATATATATATATATAAGAATACACTTAAAACCATAAGTGTGGAGGAGTGGAAGAAATTTTTAGTAAATTATTAAAAAAGAAAATTGAAGGTTGTTCAGCTTTTTTAAAATTTAGCACTGAAAATCTTTTTAAAGAAGATACAACAATGAATCTTACAGAGTTGGTCAGCTAAACAACAAATCAACCATTTAAATGAAAAAATTTGATAAATTTAATGATGTTTATTGTGAGACTGTTAAAACTCTTCTAACATGTTTGAATGAAGATCTTAATGAAATCAGGCAGTTAACTAATTAATTCTGATATTTTATCAACCTATAAGGTCGGAACTCCACTTCACCAACTAATTAAATTAGGAGCTCTATTTCATCTAAAAATGAAAATATTCTTGAATGTAAAGTTAAATTGAAATCTCAAGGTTAGGTTAATCTGCTACTGGTAACATATAATCTAGTACAACCTGCTATATGTCCTGCTGCTTTGTAGGACATGCTTTTTTAGACAAAAGCTAGGAGATGCCAACTTTAACTTAATAATAATGCCCCCTGTCTTTGGGCTCTTAGTTAAGTAAAGGCTAGAGATGGTGTCTCTATAAAAATACTCATCTTGGGCAAATGTTAATCTAATCCAGCTACTGTCTTCTAGAAGGTCTCCCAAGCAAAGACTTTAGGGGTAAACAAATTCTATCTGTTTACCAGCCTCGCACCCTTTTTTCATATATTAGGCTTGTATTATATCCAGTTTAGAATGTTGAATGCTGGATTTTCTTGACTCATTGCATAGGATTTGTTAGATGTTAGAGAGGCTATGGATTTGTCCCTTATTTGTTACTTTTGGTGTGTATTGTCAAGGACATTTGGAGCCCTTTGTTATGGCTTAGGGTTTATTAATAGTAATGAGGCAATTGCTTAGACTATTAAATATCTGCACTTCTGTATTATCTGCATTTTAAGTCAAGTTCTTTTACAAATTAAAAAATGACTAAAGTACCAAAAACTATTAAACACAAAAAAATATCGTCATCACCAAGTACTCTATCTATATATCATTCACTAATATTTATGGTCTTCAAAGTAACATTTTCTGTTAAGTCTTATCGCAAAGTTCACCAGATCTACTTTCTCTTGGTGAGACTAATTTGAGTTTGGCTGTCTCATCTTGTGATCTTAGTGTTGATAGTTACTTTAATTTGTAAAGACTCCAATAGTCACATGCTTGGTCAGAGCATTTACATTTGTAAGAATTCACCCATTTGTCAGGAAACAAGGTTTAAACCCATTGACTATTCTTTTATGTGCTCGTTAACACCACTTCACTCTATTGCCTTTCTCTTTGTTCTGTATCGCTATCTTTCATCTCAAGACTGCACTCTTTTCGATGTAATTTCTAATCAAATTGACCAAGCCCTCTCTCTTTATCCATCAGCCAATATCGTTGTTGTTGGTGACTTTAATGCTCATCACACTGAATGGCTTGGCTCTAGTGTCAGTGACTCTGTAGGTGCCACAAGGCCCACAACTTTTGCCTTTTTCAATCTCTAACTCAAATAGTCACTTTTCCAACTCACTTTCCAGACAATCCTAATCATTTACTTTCTCTACTAAACTTATGTCTTGTTTCTTATCTTGTTGCTCAGTTCCTCCACATTCACCCTTAGTTGCTTCTTATAATGGTTTGATCTCTCTAAAACTATTATCTCATTCTTCTTCATCATCACAGTCCCCCTATTATTGTACCTCTTATAATTACCTTAAAACTGACTGGGGCTCTTTCTGTGATTTTCTTTGCGATGGCCCTTGGGTAGAAATCTTTTGTCTTCTTGCTGACAAATGGGTTTCTTACATAACTTCTTCAATTCAAAAGATGGCATAGAATTTTTTATTCTCTATCAACAATTCAAGTTGAGCCTCACTCTTCTCCATGGTTTTCCTCATTGTGCTGCTGCAACTTCCAATCATAATCATTACTTTCATATCTATCAGCAAAACAATTCTCCAGAAAATAGATGTTTATTTACTAATGCTAGAAACCATTGTAAAAAGGTTTTACAATGTTTTCTAGGTTTAAAAATGTTTTAAAAGGTTTTGTGTAACGCCAAAGTTTGATATTCTCAGGTTACAAAATCTTGTATTTTAAAAATTCTTCTTGACTTCTGCAGAATCTTTAACAGTATCTATAACAAGGGCAAATCTGTTGTTCCACTTCTCTTGTATGGTTTAGAGTTTGTCACCTCACCTAAAGACAAAGTTGAATTGTTTGCTAAGAACTTCTCATTAATATCATCTCTTGATTTCACTTGTTGTGTTCTACCTGAATAGCTGAGAAATAGGTTGATCCATTGCTTGACATTCGTATCACTCTAGCTGTGACTCTTATACAGCTTGTAGTCAACATACCTGTTATAATCTTGCAGAAGTGTTCTCCCGAGCTGTTGTCTATACTTTCAAAACTATTTAACAAGTGCTTATCAGAGTCTTGTTTTAGCTTTCTAGCTTTTTTGTCAACCTTAATCATAACAGTTTATTTTTTGCAAAAGTTAGTAAAAAAATTAAGAGTAATAAAAAAACCTTATCACTACCCTAACCCTCAGCTAATCCAGCAACATCTATGTTCTTCCTATAACAGTCAATGAATGCATTGAAATCCCTGCAGGTCCCTATTTCAGTATGTTGTCAGGTTACTGATTTAAGTGTGCTCTTATAGTTGCACATGTATATGTATATGTGTGTGTTTGTGTGTGTGTGTGTGTATTACACAGTCAAATATATGCAGTCAAATATAATATTATGAAGTTGATAGCTATTACATTTAATGTTTTATAGGAATTGGAAAAATTAGCATCACGAAAGCTAAAAATCAATGCGAAAGAAACAATGAAAATTGCTGAAAAGTTATATACCCAAGGGTGAAGTCTTTTAATAAACTCAAGGGTGATTTTTTAAAATGCACCTATTACTGAAATTTTAAACATACTTTGCTCCTTAGAAGATTTTAAGCATTCTGTTCTCTATGCTGAGTTTTTTCTTTTCTAATTTTAGTTAGGCTGCTTGTGTTCAACTAAATAATATATAATATATAATAATAATAATAATAATAATAATAATAATAGTAATAATAATAATAGTAATAGTAATAATAATATGAAAACAATGGTACAAACATAGTAATAATATTTTATTTAGAATAATCAGTTACCCCCGTACAGAAACAAACATCTTTCCAAAAGGTCTAAATTTAACACCCTTGGTTGAAAATCAAACTGTTGATCCTCAGTGGGGAGGTAGGATTTTAAAGAAGTAGATATTTATAAGGTTTCTTTATTTTAAAAATTATAACACTAGTTTAAAATCACAATAGGGAGTTGCTATATCTGTATTTTTTTGTTTTGTTTTGTTAAGTCAAATTGCAGCAAATTTTGTTGTTTTTTCATACATTAAAAGGAATGAAAAGTATTTACCATAAAAAAAGCTACTTCCTAATATTTTTTCATTATTTGGTTGTTTTAATATTTAGCTTCAGACATTCTGTAAGCAAACTTTATTTTTTTATTTTAAACATGATCAAATATTAAGTAACAATCATGGAATTTAGAGAGTTTTATTAAAATGAAAATGTTTTTAAAGAAATTAGAAAAACTATTTAATAGGTTTTTAATTTAAGTATTTACTGAAAACATGTAAAGATTTTCATCTGCCATATTTAGTTTGTTTCTAAACAAGGAAATTTTTTAAAATTTGTTTAAAAAATAGTTACATGCCAACAATATGGTTCATCCTAAAATATAGTTAAAAGATCCTAAAATATAGTTAAAACTGAAGTTATTTAATACATAATGTGGTAGTATTAGAAGTGGTAGAACACTCACAATCAAAAGGATTGGTGTTTAAATCCAGCCTACACCCTAGGGCCTACACCCTACACCTCCGATAGTGAAATGCTCAACCTTTTTCTCTGTTGCTTTGTTTAAAAAAGCTCATGTTTCAGAGTTTTTGGTTCAAAAGAGTTATTACCATAGTTACATAGTAAAGTTTTCACTTGAGCTTGAAAATTGTTAGTTTTGGTTGTAATGGCCCCCTCTGGAACCTTAGGGAGGTGATTTTTGATTTAAAAAATAAAATAAAAAGCATTTAATATAATAAGTTAATATAAATTAAGGCAGTTCTTCATGAAATATGTTGCTGTTTTAGTTTCAAATCAACTTGTAGTGCAAGGTTAATTCGATTTGGTTTGTTGTAGAAAGATAAGTCAAGTTGCTTAGCAACTTGCCAATCTTTAAAGCTGAAAAATGAAAATTACAAAATTTAATTTAGTAATTACTATACTTACTTCTAATGCATTGCTTGCTTTATTTAGCTGCGGCTTATAGCAGTTGTAGTTAACCTTAAGCTTGACAGAAAAGTTTAACCTTAAGTTTGAACCATAGATCTTTGTCTAAGTGTCAATTCACAAAGTTACTTATAAAAGAAAGTAACTTTAGGTAGTATATTTTTTATTATAAAAGTTAATGATTCTTACTGTTTCTAAACAGAAGAAAAAAATTTTGAAATTCTGAATTGAAATATTTTGAAATACTTAAATATTTTCGCAGAGGCATATTCCATCATATAAGTAAATTAAATATTTTAACAGAGTAGAGTAAAGATCTATGATATAAGGCATATTTCATCATATAAGTATATTGTATGATATATTACAAGTATATTTTACACTATATGCAGTAGGTTCATCATATGTTGAATTCTCCCCACAAACTGTTTAATACAGTGATTTGGTTTGTTCTTTCATTATATTGCTTGTGTTATCTTTACCAGTTGTGCCAGTCTTTTCAAAGCAAATTGGATCAATGTGTACAAATTAATTTTGGCTTAGTTAGTTTCATAACCTCAGGTGAAAAAAAAAGAAAAACGGGCATAAAATATGCTTGTTTTACTCCTTTTTTTATCTGAGGTTATAAAACCATCAGATAGTCCCTAAAATGTAGATATTTTTTAAAATCAAGTTTTTTATTATGGATAAACTTTTTTTATATAGAATTTGTTTAAAGATGAACACACAGAATTCTTCAACCAATACTCGCTAAAAAAAATAGAGATCCTTCTTAATACATAAGATATTTAAGAAATTAAAACCATTTTTTATAATAGCAAGGTTGTATATTTAAACTGCTGGAGTGAACAATTCACACTCATCTGGAGTGTACTATTTAGACTCATCATTAGAAATAAATTATGCTAGTCACCATTCATCATATAATTATATTTTACATAAGAAAATGTTATAACCACAGGTTTAAATTATTATACAATTTTTTTGTCCCTTAAATAAAAAATTTGCATAACTGTTTACCCAACATCTTTTGCCCAATTAAAAAAGACTTAAAGGTTATATTACAATGATGATATTAGATAAAATAAGATAATTCTTTAAAAAAATTTATTTCAGTTCTTTTTTTAAACTAAAAAATTATTGTTTTTTTAATTGAAAAGGTTTTGCTTCTAATATTCTTGCTAATAATGGACCAAATCCAAGACAAGGAAAAAAAACAGACAATGCTCATCCCCCAATCCATCCTATAAAGTACATAGACTCATTGCAAGTTAGTTTTTTATTTTTACTTTAAAGTTGTTATTTTAATTTTTTTAATTAAGTGTTTTTCAGTTCAAAATCTTTTAATTTTTTTTTTTTTTCATTTGTTTTCTTTAACTCTCAGTTTTAAAAAGATCTATTTGTAAAGTTAAAGATTCTTTGTTTTTTATTTTATAATCTAAAAAGCTATTGTTCTTCATCAACATGAGACTGATGTATTAAATAATTATCAGTTATGTTTAATATAGTTTATACAGAAGGTTTTTTATAGCAGTTACTATCTAGTACACAACATGATAATTTTTCACCATAGATATTTTGAACAGTATTTTATTCTTTATTATTATCAGCATAAAACAGTTATTTATTTTACAAATACGCATATAAAAATACTTAAAGTTATAATCCATGAATACTCAAATGTATACTTGTATGATAAATTAAATGTATAAATGTATAATTCTTATATAGACAAACAATAAAAAATGGAGGTGAATATATTTAAAAAAAAAAAGTTGCTCACTGTGTTTCTTTACAAGAATTTTATGTATATATTTTTACATTGATACTTTTTCAGAAATTTAGTTCAAAATATTATTTTTAGGGCAATGAGAAACGTATTTATGAATTTATAGTTCGTCATTTCCTTGCTTGTGTCTCTAAGGTATGTTTCATTATTTAGAATTTTTCCAATGTTTTTAAACTGTTATTGGCAATAAATGTGAAATTCTTTTTTTATTTAAACTGTTCAAGCAAGTAAACTATAAACAATATAAATCCTTACATGACCTAGGATGCTGTTGGTCATGAAACGGTGTTTGAAATTGAAATATCTGGAGAATATTTTACTGTTCATGGTCTTGTGATTACTGAAAGAAATTATTTAGATGTCTATCCATATGAACAATGGAACACCAAAGTATCGTAATCAATTTAATTGTTATAATTTATATTAATAAAAGTAAAGTAATTAAAACACTGTAATTCAAGCATTGTAATTTTGAAGTCTTAAGTCAAAGTTAAGTAATAAAGAATCATATGTTAATAATTATTATTTAAAAAATTTTGCAATTTAAGATTTCTATTTTATTACAAATATGTGATAAATTTAAATTTAAAAACATTTTTTATACAGAACATTCCAATCTATCAACTAGGAGAAGTTTTTTTTCCAGACAGCATTGAGGTAGACTTTTCATTTGTATGATATAAATGCTTTTCGATGTATTTACTAAGGGCTAGGACTATTTAAAAATTTATGGATATATATATATATATAAATATATATATATATATATATATATATATATATATATATATATATATATATATATATATATATATATATATATATATATATATATATATATAGTTATGTATGTTTGTATATATATAGTTATGTATGTTTGTATATATATAGTTATGTATGTTTGTATATATATCTATATATATGTGCGTATATATATGTATTTATATATATGTATGTATATATATATTAGGGTGTCCCAAAAAACAACTTTTTTGAAAATAATCTGCTCTCACCCCCTAAATGTGTTCTATCTAATACAAAAACACTAAGTTTAAATTTTTATTTCAATCAAAAATAATTTAAAGGGTCCCTCAAGATTTGTAAAGTTGTTTTTTGGGACACCCTAATATATATATGTATGTATGTATATATATATATATATATATATATATATATATATATATATATATATATATATATATATATATATATATATATATATGTATATATATATATACATATATATATATATATATATATATATATATATATATATATATATATATATATATATATATATATATATATATATATATATTTATATATACTAGCAGTAAGCAACCAGTAATACGGGTTATTAGTAATTAAATAATTGCTTACAGTTAACAACAAAGAAGACTACGTTAACATCAGTTAAGTTCTTTTTAAAATCTGTTACAACACAGCAGGTACCATAAAAAGAAAGTCAAGTAAAGCCTTCCAATGCCTAAAAAAAGGAACGAAAAATAATTACAAAGTATTATTTGCATTTTATTGTTGGTAGAATGAAGATATAAAGACTTAAAAAAATTGCTGTAATAGCCCAGTTCTATCAACACAAAACACATTAACAATAGTGTATATCATAAGATATTTGTAAGCACACATTACTATGTCACTCCAAAATGATTAAAAAAGAAAAGATTATATAAAGGCTAGACAACTTAACGTAGTAAATAACGTAATAACATATAACACCACAAATTAAGATATTTTATCAACTAAAATACTTGAGCTAAAAAGATTTTATTGATTACAATATTGAACAATTTTATCATAAAATACCAAGCAGCTCATAAAATTTTTTATATACATGGTCATTATCAATTGTGGCATTAATAAAACTTATATATTTACTTTTTTTTTAACTAAAAAGTAATTATATAAGTTTTATTGATGCTCCATGCACTAATTCTCTTTTAACTCTTATCTAAGAGTAAACAAAATTATTTTTACCTTTATTATGTAAAGTTCCAGCTCCAAGAAGTCCTCAAGGTCTTATCACAGAGCACCGTGGATAAGCATTTAATAGGAAGTTCACGTCTCCTTATTGATGTAAATAAATTTTAATTTTTATTTTTTGATAAAAGTTGTCTATCAAAAATAAAAATAAAAATTTATTTACATCAATAAATTGTAATTTAATAAAGAATCTAGACAATAATACATAATCTAAAAGTGTGAAAAATGAAGCAATATTACTCAATATATTTTACTCCAAAGTAATTAAAAAAACCCTATTAAACCTATTAAATCTAATGAAAATATTAAATAAAAAAATATAGCAAACTTACTAAAATCAGTACGAGTTCTACTGCCTAAAAACTTTTATTATTAACCCTTCTAATAGTAATAAAAAAATAACAACAAAGTGATCTGAAGTTACTAAAAATCACTTCACCTATTTTTTTGTTTAGGTTAATTGTCCAACTAAAAGTCTATAACTATAATACTGAGATAATGTAACATGATTTCTAATCAATGTAGCACGTTCAGGGTTGTAAACCAATTGATTATGCCAACCAGCATCACACCTTAGAAAAAATAGAGAACAAATCATAGGCTCTAATTTGGCAGACATACTTGATATATTTTAAGAGGATGACCTCTTGGGAAAATAACAACTTCACTGGAAGTAGGTGGAGCACTTCACCAAAAAATACAAATGCAACTTCATTATGTGAACGGAGATTATAGTGACATCTATCTTGCCCTTTTTTCTTCCTATTTCAGTTCTAAGTATTTGCTGCTTGCCGAGCAGGATATCTAGCATTTGGTTGATTATTAACTTCATCCTGCCTCAGCCTATTTCTTGCATTTCTGTGACGACTATTTTCAACTTGCCTAATCACACTGTCCTCATTTTGATTTAAATTATTCGTGGCTTGCCATGCAGCATATCTAGCATTTTGTTGATTATTAATTTCATCCTGCCTCAGCCTATTTCTTGCATTTCTGCGACGATTATTTTCAACTTGCTTATTAACATTTCCATCATTTTCTAAACTAATAGCCACTTCTAGCCTTATATCATCCATTTAAACTTTACTTTTAATTGATAGAAGTAAGTTTTGATTGATAGAATCTTGAAGATTGTGATTTTTTTTTTTTTTTTACTTCTCTAAATTGAACACACACAAAGAATAATTTTTAAAACATTACATAGGAAATTTTCATTTAAAATAGACCAAATTATACAACAATATTGTGAGTTTTTTATAAAAACATTTTTATAAATATATCTATTAAAAGATGTTTAAACAAAAAATAAACTTATAAATATAATTTAAATAAAAAAATTAACCAATAGTAATAAAAAAATAATAATAATAATCATAAAAATTTTAATGATAAAGGGTACTGTTAATACAAAAAAAAGAAGACAAAAAATAAAAAGTAAAGTATCTGTAAACCCCTTTTAGTAAACTTTAATATTATTTCTATAAAAAAATTGTATAAAAAACATGCAAATAATTTAACCTTCACAAACAATGACTGTTCAAAAGTTGTATTTTAATTCATTTTTCTAAATTCTAAAGAAAAGAAAAAAATTTAACAGCATCACTAAAATGCCAATAATATAATGAGCAACATGACAAAGTTTATCAAAGATTAATTAACTGTTTTTTTTATTACTTAATCTTTTTTCCAATATTTTATATTATTTATTACACATTAAAATCAGAAGATTAAATTTATTAAAGTTTTACATAAGTTAAAAGCAGCTATAAACACTAAATTATTAAATTCAAAACAATCAAAAGAAATAAAATCTGCTGGAAATCAACAAATTAGTTTAAAATTATAACTTGAAAATATTACAAATTTAAATGTGATTTTTGTTATAGTTAATAAATTGCTGCAGTATATTTTTTCAAAACTGATTAACTGATATGGTATATATTCAAAGCAATATAATAGCCATATTATATTGTGAATCAAAAATTAAAGTAATAAAAACTATAAATAATAATCTAAACAAATACTAAAAAAATAAAAACAAACATAATTTAGATTATTTGTATTTTTTTAATGAAAATAAAAACCAAGGAAAAAACAGCAACAAAAAAATTGTTAATATCTTCACTGACTGAATATATTAAAAAATTTTTTGTTGCTATTTTTTACTTGGTGTCTCCCAGCACCCCTGTATGGATTAGCCCTCCATTTGAAAGAGGGCTTATCCATACCATTATTACTGCAACATTTGTTAAAGGACCTCTCAGAGAGTGGTCCTGGGTGCTGGGAGCAATATAGTCTGTAGCTGCTCCAATTTAGATCTAAAGAAAAAATAATAATATCATAAAAAATAGATATTTGCATTAAAAATAATAAATAAAAACTCCTAATATAGAAAAATTAAAAAAAAAAAACGTAGTAAAACCCTTTTAAGCAAACTTCAATATTATTTATTTGAAAAAAATATTCGTAAAAATTTTTAAAAAATTCACAAAACTTAACAGTATTTTGTTCTTCTATACCACATAAATACATCATTTGATAAATAAAAAATGTAACAAATAAGTAAATAAGAAAAAAATTACATACAAAAAAAAGGAATCATTGTACCTGATAAAGCTGATGTGATTTACCAGAGTAGTAGTAGTAGTAGGCTTTTAGCGAATCTAAATATTAATTTTAGTGAATGATTAAATGCAGTGAGGTCTAATAATAAAATTAACTATGTATCATTTTTAACAGTAGACAACAACTTGAAGGTAAACCAAATGTATATCAACTCAAAAGATTACAAAAAAACAATATCACAACAACAATAGCATTCACCATAAGTACATATAATATGCATATAACATAACTTAAGAAACATAACATTCATATATAACAGAACATCAGTAACAACATTAAGCTAAATGTTATTAAAATGCATTATGTATTTTCAAAGTAATTATTAATAAAGGCTTGAAAACACCTAGACCTAAAGCAGTAACAGTTTGACACGAAACACTGCTTTGTAACCCTTTGCAGTAAGTGACTTGGCTGGCAAGGTTGACAAATCTTGCTTTACACGTTTACCAATTCACAGCACTTTGAAAACGTATATAAACATATTTAAACACATTTATAAAACAATTATATAACTTATATTAAAACATACACAAACAATAAAAAAACATGTTACATTAATATAAAAACACATTGATAAAAAAGCTATAAAGCACATTTTACAATATACACATAATTATCAAAAAAGCAATGCAAATTATAAACATATAACTTGAATTGTGCAAACAAAAATTTTAAAAATGGCATGAGAAAATTTTAAAAGATTTAAAGTAAACAAAATATAAATATTTATATACAAACAATACTCTTTACCTTTTTTTTTCATAAGAACTGTAATTCTCATAACAAAAATTTAATCTTTACATACAATAACATGTGACATGTCAGTAGTGGCACGAAATTTCAATTTATTTTTCTAAATTTTCTAAAAAAGAGCAAAAACAGTTAATAGCATCACAGAAATTTCATGGTAGTAATAACCAATTTTATTGAAATAGCATTACTATAACTTTTTTGTTGCATAAAAAATAATTAGACCTCATTCTTACCTCTATCTTCCTTCTAAAAAAGATATGCTCAATAAAAACTGCTAG